CCATAACAACAGTAAAAATACTTTCAAAGGAAAAAAATTAAGCCTAAATGATTCTACAGGTAAGTTTTACCAACCTTGCAAAGAAGACATAATTCTAATTTTACAAAACTCTGCTAAAGAATATTTTTTTGTAGAAATATTACCCAAATCATTCTATAAAACTAGTCTGAAAATTAGTATGTAAAAGCAAAATTACAGGCCAGTGTCATTCACAGAGATGCAAAAATTCTCAACCAAGTATTAGCAAAATGAATCCAGTTTAGCAATTGCAAAAAAATACTTACAAATTCTTCCTGTCCATGTAGGCACACTCCTTTACAATATGACTGTCACTTCTCCCATTAAGAGGTGAAGTCTGTCTGTCCAAGCTTTGAATCTGATATTGACTATCTGACTTGCTTTGGCCAATGAGACATTAGCAAATATAAGGTTAGTAGATGTTTGGAATGTACTTGCACATTATGCTTGCCCTATCTTTATGCTGCAAACCCTTCTGCCACCATAGGAACAACGAGTCAGGGCTAACCTCCTGGAGAGAAGGCTGTGGTAGACATGGAGATTTGTTGCCCAATCTCCCTTCAAAGAAGGTCTGGTTGTCCAGCTGAAGGAAACATGGTCAGCAGTCTTCAGCTGTCAGTTCCTCAGGGTCCACCTCAGCAGCAGAGGTCACAGTCTTGTGAAAGAGGTGTGTGTATAAAGACTGGCCACTTCAGCCTGACAGTGGACATCGCAGATGGGCAATGTTCACTCCAGAGTTCCCTACAAAGTGTGACAAGGCTTCCTGAAGCCTGCATCACAGTTCAACTTCTCCCTCTGCAACAATCCCTTTTCTCCTTTTCTTTCACAGGTATTGGTTCCTAATACACACCTTGCACCTTAAATTCCATCCCAGAATCTGCTTCCAGAGAACCCTATCTATACCAAGACCCTGATGATCCCAGTCATCTCAGCTATTCCTGCTGAAGTTCCACTCATGTGAGGCCATCCTGGATCAGCAGAACCAGGATGAACCAGCTCCAATGTAAAAAGCAACTGACTCAGATAATCCTGAAAAATAACAAATATCTGTTGTTTTAAAATACTAAGTTTTGAAGTGGTTCTTTACATAGCAAGAGCTAGCTGGTACATCAGCATATTAAAAAGATAATACAAAAGTTGGACTTGAACTCCAGAGAGAACTCCACAAGAAAGTTGACATTAGAAAAATCTATGCCATTCACTACCTTAACAGTTTAAAAGAGGGAAAAATATATTATCATCCCAATAGATTAATTAAACTAAGTGATAAAAATAACTTTTTATTACTTAGAAAAAAAACCTCTCAGTAAAATAGAAATAGAAAGACACTTTCTTAACATGAATAAAGGTGTATTCCAAAAACCTCAAGCAAGAATCAATTGAATAGTGAAACACTAAAATCATCTCCTTTAAAATCAACAACTAGCACTATCACTATTTTCATTCAATATTAAGATAAAGATATTAGTGCACTCAAAAAAAATAAAGAAGAAAAAGGAACATGATTTAGTAATAAAGAAATAGAGCCCCCCTATTTCTGATGTGATGACCGTACATGTGACGACTATTTATATAGAAAACCCTGGAACCTTTAGGTTAATTAGGAAAATAAAAATCTTAGCAAGGTGGCTGGCTTTAAGTTCAGTAACAAAAACCAATTACACTCCCTGATGAAGTTAATTGCATAAATAAAATAAAATTAAAAAACAAATTATGGTGCTATAAAGGAAGAACAAAAAATTAAGAAAGGTAATTTTTAAAAGCTACTATTTACAATAGCAACAGAGCTTTTGTAAGAAAGCCAACAAAAGATGTGAAAGACCTGCATGAAAAAAATTATAAAGTTTATTGAAAGATAAGAGAAGACCTAAATAAACTGAGAAATATATCATGTTCATTGATAGGAAGACTCATATCATAAAATGGCAATTATCTCTAAATAACCTAAATGTTCTATGAAACTATAAATACAATCTCAGTATGATGGTTAAAATTTTTTAATTTTATTTATTGTTTTTGTATTTGCCTCCTGGAGGCAGGAGCTCACTCTGTCACCCAGGCTGAAGTTCTGTGGCATAATCATAGCTCACTGCAGCCTCAAACTCCTGGGCTCAACTGATCCTCCTGCCTCAGACTCCCAAGTAGGTAGGACTACAGATATGCACCACCACACCCAGTTGATTTATTTTTATTTTTATTTTTTGCAAAGAATGGATCTGATTATGTTGCCCATGCTGGTCTCAAACTCCTGGCCTCAAGGAATCTCCCTGCCTCAGCCTATCAAACTGTTGGGATTACTAGCCTGAGCCACCACCATGCCCGGCCTCAACATGATTCTTTTGTGTATGGAATTTAATGAAGTGATAAAATTGACATGAATGCCTAAGGGGCCAAAAATAGCCAATACTCTCCTAAAAGTATTTTTCAACACATTAACTGATTCTGACTATAGGTAATTATAATACAAAGAAATAAAAAAAGGTAATCTAAAAATAAATATGACATGAAACACATGAATACCAGAGAGTAAGGACCTGGCTTTTCAGTGATAGCAAAAAAAAAAAAAAAAAAAAAAAAAAAGAATGGTCGATAAACATATGACAAAATGCCCAACCTCATTACTAAACAAAAAATTAAAGACACTGCAAAAATACTATTTTACACCTATGATAGCAAAAACCTTTAAATTCTGACAATATTAAGTATAAAAGATGTTGCAGACCAATGAGTTCTTAATTCTGATAGTGGGAATATAAATTGGCATGAATTTTCATTTTTCAAATGAGTGAGAAATTATGGAATCCAAATATTAATGAAGACGAGAACCCAGAGAGGTAAGCACAACTAAGCATTTGTCTTTAAAAGAAACATCTGTGAAACTGAGGTACAGGTTTGACAACCTGGTAGAGTATGATAAACAAGACTCAAATCCAGGAACTTCCTAAGGAAAGACACACCTGATGTTCGCTTTAAGTTGGAACCAGAAGGGCTGACCTCCCTGGACAAGTGTCCTCTAGAAATAAACCAAGTGGATTTGTGTGTGTGTGTGCGCGCTTAACTTTACTTTTCTTCTTCTTCTTTTTTTTTAAGTGGATTTCAATGTGATTTTGTATCACCTGGGTGGTTCTGAGAACCTCAAGCTTTGAATTTGGAATACTCTAGCCCTAGGTAAGCCTCTCGGATCTGGTATAAGCAAGCAAAAATCTTCTCCACATTTGGAAATCCATCTTTGGAAGATGCCATTATAGGAAACCTCATATGCTTGCTTTTTCTCCCCCAAGTAACATGACTAGCACAAAGACAAAGATAATATTCCACACACAACATAATCACAACATGATTATGTTGTGTGTGGAATTTAATGAACTGATAAAATTGATATGAAAGCTCAAAGGGCAAAAAAATAGCCAATACTTTCCTAAAAATGTTTTTTCAAAACATTAACTGATTCTGACTATAGTAATTGTAACAAACAAGGCACTTTCATCAAGAACCCACTGAAGCAATAGACAAAATGATGCTTTTCCCCATAATATAATTTCTAACTCTAAACATGACAAGTATTAAAAAAAATTGTTATATACACAGTAAACTTCAAAATAATTTTAAAAAGAAAAAAATAAACAGTATTCTCAATGAACACATGTAGACAAATGCCTGACTTCCAGGCTGAATTTTTACCATGCTTTCTCTATGAGTGTGGTTTGCAGAATTCCTGTTTAAGCCTACTACTTCTCTATTACACTACATTAACTTAAAACCAGGAACCGTGAAAACTAATAACCACAGTTACAAATTTGGGAAAGAAGAGAATGAGAAGAAATGCCACAAGTGGGAGAAAATAATGTGCAAAAGACATCTGATAAAGGACTGTTACTCAAAATACACAAAACTCTTAAACCTTAATAAGAAAATAAACCAATTTAAAAATGGGCAAAAGATATACAGATAGCAAATGAGCATATAAAGAGATGCTCAACATCATGTCATTAGGGAGATGCAAATTAAAATGAGATACCCCTACCAACCCATTAGAATGCCCCATATCCAAAACACAGACATCAAATGCTGGAAAGGATATGGAGCCACAGGAACTCTCAAGCACTGCTAGTGAAAATGCAAAACAGTACAGCCACTTTGGAAGACAGTTTGGAGCTTTCTTACACAACTAAACACTCTTAACATAGAATTTAGCAATCAAACTCCTTGGTCCCAAAGGAGTATTTAGCCAAAAGAGCTAAAAAATTAGGTCCAGACAAAAACTTTCACATAGCAACTTTATTCACAATTCCCCAAATTTGGAAGCAATCATGGTATCTTTGAGCAGATAAAGAGATAAGCTGTGGAACATCCAGACAATAGAATATTAACCAGTGCTAAAAAGATATAAGCTAGCAAGCCATAAAAAGACATGTTACTAAGTGAAAGAAGCCAATCTGAAGAGGCTATAGACTGTATGATTCCACTTATATGACAGTCACATTCTGGAAAAGCAAAACTATAGAGATAGTAAAAAGATCAGTGGTTCCCAGGCATTAGGGGAGAGGGAAGGATGAAGGGACAAAGAACAGAGGATTTTCAAGACAGTGAAACTATTCTGTATGATGTTACAATGGTAGATAAATGTCATTATATATTTGTCAAATATATATACAATATACAATATATAATACCAAGAGTGAACCCCAATATAAACTATGGACTTTGGGTGATAATATGTTAAGGTAGGTTTACGGACTGTGATAAATGTACCACTGTGGTGCGGAATGCTGATATGGTGGATGCTGATAGCAAGGAAGGTAATCACATGTGTGGGGGTGGGGTGGGGAGAGGATACCTGGGAACTCTCTATACATTCTGCTCAATTTTGCTGTGAACTTAAAACTGCTATAAAAAATAAAGTCTCTTAAAATCTTTTTTTTAAAAATTGAGAAAAGGATGCTATGTGAGGATACTTTAAGCTATTAGATTCAGTCAAGAGACTCTGGGGCCACATTTATAATTATCCATTACCTAGCAAGTCATACAGTGAGGGCATGCGCCATACAGCTTACAACACAGAATCCAGCATGATATTCTAAATACCAAAAACAGCAGATGTTATGAAGAATATCTGAAAGAGCCAAGTTCATTCCTAAAATTATAGACTGTTGTTATCAGTGCCAGAAATAATTAGGAAGTCTATTTTGGAATTCAAACACTTCAGGATTTGCTTTTCGAAGTTCATTTACTAAGGTCTAGTCTCACATCTTCCCTAATCTACTTTTTACTAATTAAGACTTTTGCTGCCATGCCAACAATACATTTTCTTAAAGAAAACAATCTTACAACTTTGAAATGTTAGTGTCATTTTATGCCACAAAACTTTATTTACAAAGTTTTTTAGAATATACTTGCTATCCACCCACTATTCCAAGAGTGAAATGATGTCAAATAGATTACACAAGAGCATAAAACAGAGAAAACAAGTCTACAATATATACAGTGCCATAAGTGGTTGCTATTTTTACAGTTTTCTTTTAAAGATAATCTACTGATTTTTTTTTGCTGATAACACTTAAGAGTGATGTTGTCTTCAAATGTAGATTTCCACAGGGAGTCAAGAGTATTACAGTCCAATGTATTTTATAGGTGGTATGTGACAATTTACGAGTAACCGCAAATCATTTTTTTTCCCTTTTTTTTCCAAAAGTCTTGGATGATGATGAATTATGACTTTCACCACCACTATAGTGTTCATATAAAGTCTGAAATTAAAAACACAAATCTGTTTGGTAATTTTTTAGTTCAATGTACTGTCACATTAGATGTATTTTGATGTATTCTAAATATAATACATTTATTTCTCTCTTGCTCTTACAGTTCGGAAATTATTTTATAAGCTAATAGAGATAATAAAGAATTTTAAACACCAAGCTTGGTCTTAAGCATTACCTATCACGAGATGTAACTCAGTCTTTCTATGAGAGAAATATAACAGAGCTACTAATAAACACACATATGAGACTTCAAGGCCTTATCTCCTTACTTTTTCTTAAATAAAGCCAGTCTTAGGTAAATTCCTATACAAAATGTATTTATAAGGAAACTTTATACAGATGATATTTTAACTAATAAATAGAAGACATTACAAATTATTATATAAATATAATAATTAGATATATATTAAAATCCATGTATTTAAAAATTACTTAAGACTCAGCTAACATTTAACTTATGAAGATGGCAGACATCTTTGCCCTCAAGGAACATACAAACCTCAGTGATAAAAATAACTAATCTACCTCAATTATAGCTATAAGAGGCTTTGAACAAGATATTAGTATAAATTTAAAACATGGAGATACAAAATACAGAGCAATTACAAAACATATTCGGTCCACTTTTAATTACTAAATCCATTGATTTAGCCATTAGCATTTGAGAAAATTTAAGAAAACAGTTACCTCATATCATATAAATGCAAATATAGTGAATGTATAGTAAATTCCTTCAGAAATGTACTCAAGTTCTTGGCAACTTAGATGGACTTTATACGTATCTAAAGAGCTACGAGTATTGATAGTTTAAGTTCCCATAATTTTATGATAATTGTGTAACTGAAATATATAATTAGTAATTGCTTGTTGGCTAAACCAGTTGGTCAATAAGCATTCATGGGGTTCTAGTAATAACTAGGTGCTTGAAAAATCATGGTATAGATATAAATGGACATTGGAGGCTAAACAGCTTGAGACTTGTGCTTTCAGAATTGTGTTGACTGCTATATACAGCTTCAAAAAAGCCATTAGATGTAATGTCTCTAAGGAAAAAATTGGCTAAAAGGAATGAATTCAAAAGCTGTGTTAATAATGGTGCTGAGTTAAAAGACACATTATATTCCTGAATGCACCTTATGTGATGATCTACTTTGAACTGTACTGTATGCAGAAGAATACAAATCAAGTAAATCTGTATTTGTCAAAGGCACATGTTAAGTTTCTAAATGTAGAAACATGTTTCATAACTGATCTGATGATTGGACCAACTTTCCTTCAGACTGTTTCCTTAAGTGTCGAATTCACCACATAAAACAGTTAAAATTAATGTAAAGAACAGACATACTTACTTTAGCAGCTTTCAAAATGGAGTTAGGAGAATTCAGACCAACAAGTTGGCCCAGAACATATTTCATTTCTTCAGTGGTTCCCTTGGCCATTTGGTTACCTATAAAATAAATCAATAATACACTAATGCCAATAAGAAAAATATAGGTCCATTATAAATACACATTTTGTTTAACAGCACAAGTGATATTCTTGTAATTTATCACTGATTTTAACCCCTTATCTGGAATAAGTAAAAATAAATACCATAAGTAAAGGAAAAAAAGTTTATTTACTTTACTATTTATAATAATGGAACTTCCTTAAGGAAAAAGGCAGGCTGACAAAGGGTAGCCAATTTAGATTCTGTCTTTGTTATATCAATAGGTAAAAGACAGTTTATATTACCAATCTAGTAACAGACAAATTTTTAAAGAAGTAGTACCTGCATGAGTTTGAATTTGAACGTATGGATGAGCCAGGAGCTCAGGAATGGATATCCTCTGTTTTGGGTCCCTTTTTAAACAACACTATTAAAACAAAGATATTTTAAAGAGAAACAAAGCAGGTTTTCATATATGACATTGATAAAGTATATTTCCAGATTACATTACATTATAAAAGTTGCTTTTTAGATATCCCACTCAAGTAATGATAGGATTATTTCTTCCAAGGCACTTTTGCAAAATCCCCAAGTATTTACAAGCTTTAAAATATCTTCAAAGTAAAAAACTAATTCAGTTAGCAATTCTTTTGAATTCCAATTATTTCAGCATTTAAGTAAATAATTAGTTACATGATATTAATATTACCTTTAACACATCCTGAAGATCTTTCTCTGGAATATCAGGAAATTCAATTTCATGATTAGGATCAATTATGGCATGCAACTTAGAAATCTGATTAATTATATGCTGAAATGGTGTTTTCCCATAAGTCATATAGTACAAAATACATCCTAAGGACCAAACATCACTTTTGGGGCTTATCTAAGAAACAAACAAACACAAAAAAGTTGCTGTTATTTTCATGTAAAATGTAAAAACATATATATTATATATATTTAAAATCATAATTAAATCTCAATGAATGTGTACTACATTATGGTAACATGACAAAACATCTTTTTCTAGTTTTCATTTCAGTTGGTTATTCCATCAGAAGATATGAGCTTTACTTTAAATCTTTCTATAACCTCGTAAGTAAAATATTCCAATTAAGACAAAATATTAAATTATTTCCAACTTGTGAAAATATAAACTAAAATATGTAACTATAAGTTTTAAGTTTACTTGTTTTCCCCAGAATTATTGGATTATAAATTTTTATATAAGTTCAAAGTATGTATACAGTTTTAAAGGTTGTTTAAATTATGCAACCCTTCAGATAAGACCATTGGAAATAATAAATAATACAACTTTAAACCCAAACGCATATATTATAGAACTATGCTGAGCTTGTGTGTCCAAAATCCCCAAGTATTTACAAGCTTTAAAACATCTTCAAAGTAAAAAACTAATTCAGTTATCTATTCTTTTGAATAGATCAGTTATATCTAAGCCAGTTACACAATTTCAATCATTTCAGCTATTTCAAGTAAATAATTAGTTATATGAAATTAATATTACCTTTAACATATCTTGAAGATGTGTTACTAACTGGTAATGCTATGTGTCTGTTTCCTCACCTCTGGTATAGACATTATAAAAGTACATTGTCACGGGCATTAAATGAAAAACCATAAATATGGTTAATCATAGAGAAAAGTTTCTGGTTATTGTAAGTACTGAAGTTGTAAAGCAAATGAAAATAGAATTGATAAATGAAGTCAGGAACTGCTTGTTTAAGATGAACAAAACCACAGAAAGTCTAATAAAAACAAGAAATTTAAGTTTTAGAAGAAGAGTGGAGGCTAAACAAATATAAAACGAATTTTATGAAAACATTTGGCAAAATCTTATGCCAGTTATTTGAAAAACACTTAAAAGCCAGATTTTCTAAGGAGGAAAATATAATTTAGTAAAACAAAACAAAACAAAAAAACACATTTATCAAGCAATGATTCTGAGCTGGATAAATGTACTAAGTACTTTATATATTCTTTCCCATTTAATCCTCAATTTATTTTATAATAGGCACTGTCTATAGGCACAATTTAGAGAGGCAGATCTATGGCTTGAATGAATGCAGGTCCCTGGGACAATGTGTGCTTGCACCCACTTGGTTACACTGATGTACAGAAAGGTTAGCCTGGGAGCCCAAGGCATCACAATAGGCAAAACGAGTCCCTGACAAAGGGCACCCAAGAGGCTAACACAAACTCATCGAAGTAGTGAGATAAAGTCAGTGGAAAAGTAGCCAGTGGCAGGCCAGAAAACAACTACATTCTCCAGCTGTACTTGGAAATGTAGAATTCACAAACGAATAAGTGGTGAAAAATAATAAGAACTGCAAACAAAAAAAACCCAGCAATGTCTCTGTAATGGCCTAAAAAGTTTTAGAACTTAAAGAAATTGTTATCTGGTAAGTTTATTCAGAAAACAGCGCATTCCCTACTGTTGCCAGATAATTGCGATGTAAATAATCTTTTCAGTACCTTTGACTTAGACTTCCCATTCTCTCTGGAGGAAGACAAATCTTTGATTGCTTCTGGTGGCATATAATTAACTGTGCCAACCTACACGCCAAGTCAGAGAAAACACAAATCAATGAAAATATTTCATTCTGCTTTAGATTCTTAAAAATACAAATGCCAGATCCTTGGAAACTTGGGTAATTATAGATTTCAACGATATCCTTGCAAACTTCAAATAACTGCTGACAATGTTAAGATATATATATCAAATTTCTTCCCAATTGCAGCAAAATGAGTTGGGTTCATAATCAGCAAAGTGACTCCTTTCAGAATGCTGTGCTTTTTCTGTGATTATAGTGGGCAACTAGTAAAGTCTGCCCTAAAAACTGTCCAGGCTAAAATTCTATTAATGGCCATAAACTTTGAGGCCATTGAGGGACTTACCATTCGTTTCTGTGTTGTAACATATTCAACTTTAAAAATATATATATTTTAAATAAGCCAACCAATATATAAACAAAAAGACCATCTAGCTTTGTCCCACAGTAGTCCTCTGAGTTTCTACAGCATGATATGCCAACCTTACAACAGCCTCATTTTCTTCTAAAATAAACGGTTTGCTTTAAACACAGAATATATCTACTTTAGGGCCTTGACATGGAAGATACTGTCAAGCTGATTTACAACTCATTGTTCTGCCATACTTTTGATATAAAGAGACATGACTCTCAAATAGGGCAAGCTGTCCATCTATTCCTCCTAACAAAGTCTATTTTACTCCTGGGATTAAGGTGAACTCACATCAAAAATCTGTAAACACAAAACATATCATCTTGGCTCCAAGCAAGAATATTTTTTAGATATACTTTGGTGCCATTGCTTTAGTTTTTATAGAACAACTTCATTAAGTTTGCTGTTACAATATCTATTATAAAAATGTTGCTTATAATACTTATGGCATTTACAATATGAAGGCCCATTTAAGAATTTTTTTTCCAATTTCAGTGATAGGAAAAGATCTGCTTCTCTAGAATAAAAATAATCTTACCTCACAGACAATGAAAAACATATAACTGCAACTATCTCTTTGCTACAAGGAAACTCTGAGCCAAATTTTCAGGTCAATTTTTGATCATGACCAAGTGATTTCCAAGGAAGGTATTACTGTTTCTCTACTTCAGCTGTAGTAAAACCATTCAAAATTGCTGGGGATATTACCATTTGATCTTGATTTTCTAAATTATAATGATTATGGTTTATATTTTTAAACCCATTCTTATTAAAAGACTTCAAATCCTTTAGAGATGATTAAAAATATAATACTCATTTGCAATATAATACTTCACAGGTGAAAAAAGAATTGAACTCTACTGTGAGATAACCAACATTAAAAGTCTTACCTGAGAATCTTTAACAATACTTGTTGTATCTGGTTGCATTTGGTTTGCGATCCCAAAATCGATTAGCTTTAGCATTCCATCAACTATCAGAAAGTTAGCTGGTTTAAGATCACTGTGAACAATGCCTTTAAAATAAAATTCCACTATAATATTAAACAATGCAAAACATCCTAAGGACCAAAAAATTCAGTCTACAGGTCAAGCTGTATTTATTCCTTCAATTAGTGAATCCAATTCGATATTAATTTTTTTATATATTCTGCAAACATTTACATAGCACTTGATATGTGCCAGGCACTGTTCTAAGCTCGTTGTTTATACAGTACTGAATCATTTAATCTTCACAACAATGCTGAAGTATTATCATCATCCCCATTGTAAGGCAAGGAAGCTAAGGCAATGAGAGTTTAAGTAACTTGTACAAGGTCACACGGCCTAAGTGACAGTGCCATGAGTTGAAGCCAGACAGTCTGGCTTCAGAATCTATCCTCTTAACCACTGTGATTCACTGCCCACTAGAGAGCATCATAAATCATACTGTCAGACAGTAAGACCCTAATGCTCCTGACATCTCCACCGCATAGCCCTGATCTTGATCACTGGTGAATTATCTTTTAACTTATAGAAGGAGGGATATAAGGAGGAGATAAATTACAATTAACTAGGATAACAGTATTAAGAACAAAAAAAATATATAGGATAAGGTAAAGGCAGAGAAAAACCCTAAAAAGAACCAAGGACAAGTAAAAACCAACCCAGAAGGTAGGTCTAACAGTAAAAAACAAACCAAAAAAAAAAAAACACAACTCTCACATAGGGCATACAATACAAAATGATTAGGAGAATGAGTAAAGTAAACATCTCATATTTTTTAGAATGCCTGAACCCCAAAGTCTTAGACCTGCTATAATCCAAGTATTTGGAGATAAAGATGACAGACTACGTTAATACTGAGAAAAATACATTTTGTATTACAGATGTGGGAACTTGAGTTCGTGTCCTATATCCTTTGGGTTAACAGTGTTTTAAGAAATGGTTTTGTTCCTTTATCTTTAAATAAACTTCTAATTATTTAGTTCATCTAGTTAAAGATACCAACAACCAAGGCCTTAAAATTACAGGTATATTTCTCTAAGATGACACTATTAACAAACATTTTAACCTTACAAATATAAAAAAACCATTAAATACCATGTTGATGGATTGTGTGAACTGCCTCTAACATATTTTTCCAGTAACTCTTGCGTTCCCATGGATCAATGGATTTTTTCTTTTTAAGCCAACTATTAAGATCAATATTACCACACTCCATTACCATGTAGATGTACTGGTCCGTGATTTCACTGCAATTAAACAAATAAAAACAACAAAACAATAAATGGCTAGGTTATATCAAAGTTTACTAAATATTTACCTGAAGAACCATAGCAAAAAGTTTTCTTTTTAAATTTAAAAAGGATTCTTACTAATCATAAAGTCGGATGATCTTATCACTGTGTTGTTGTAGTTTATTCAAATAAGCTATTTCGTTCCGGTAACTATCAAGAGTTTGGTTATCTGCTTCTTCTAAGTTCACATATTTTATAGCATATATCTGTTTCTTTTCATTCAACACCTGAAATACCTACACAGTAGAAAAAAGAGAAGTTTAGAATGTACTATTTATACACTGTCACACAATGATTCTAAATGTATTAGAATTTTAGGTTGAGAAAATTCTAAAGGAAATACTGATATGAACAATGAAAAGTTTCGGGCCTATTTTGAGTGTAGAAGGAGAGAAATAATTCTGATAGCAGAGTTACAATCCATTCCCAACGACCTATGATGATGGGCATTCAATAATTTAAAGGTATAAATCTAAAGTTTCTATATCAACATGTAAGAAAAGTTTAAATTTCATATATATAACAATCTGTTGGATGCCCTAACCAGGGAAACAGCATAAAGAAAAAGACATCCCAAAATGTTAAGGACAAGCCTGGTGCAGTCGTGTGCTCCTTTAATCCCAACTACTCAGAAAGCTGAGGTGGGACAATTGCTTGAGGCCAGGAGTTTGAGTCCAGCCTCAGCAAGATAGTGAGACACTGTCTCAAGGGAAAAAAAAAAAAGTTAAGGATGACTAAATGCTATGATACAGAGTCAATTCAATTCACAGATGTTGTTTTCTCCATAGTGCCGCGACTTAGCAATTTCATTCATGTGATAGAAAATATTAAAAAATATATACTAATCATAAGCTATCAGTATATCCAGCTGTGAATAATAGAGTAGGTCTGAATTTCAAAGTAAAGCTGGCAAGAACAAGATGTTCTTGTATGTTGTCAGGATCTCTGAGATCAAAGTCCAATTGCTCTGGCTATAAAAGATGGTCAATTCCTAAGTAACATTTATAGGACAGATAACATTTTTTAAAATAGAAAACAATGCAAATGTAGCTAACTTTCCGCAAACATGCAACAAGGATGGTGCTTTTAAAACTCAATTCAAATACAAAATGCCTGTGTATACAAGAAAAATTATATTCATTTACCCCTTTTGACATATTTAAGTAAAAAATCATTTAACCTTGACTGCCCAGCAGATACTGGGAAGGAATAAGAAAAGAGCCCAAGTGTTTATGAGGTTGATGTGCTAAAACTGCACTAACAAGGAGAATTTATTAGGCCCCTCAGGTATAGCTTGTGTTTAAGTTTTAAGTATGAGACTCGAATGAAGTATTACTGGTTTTAGTTGGATACACAGCAAATTAGAGGGGGATGGGGCGTAAGAGGAATAAGAAAATAACAATACAACAGATAGGGATTTAAAAATAGCAGCATAAAGCCATTTTGTAAAAGGTAAATAGCCTCATTAACCCATGACCCTGAATGTGATGGCTAATGCCTTATTTGTATGTTCTGGTAGTATATTTGTACAATGAAATAGCTTTGTATCATAAAAATAAAATTTAAAGATTAGAACATATAGGATATGAAACTTAGGAAAGACTAGAAGGAAATAACTGTATTTGAGTTCCAGCTCCATCTTTATCAGCAACCAAACTTTGGGCAAGTTCCTTAGTCTCTCAAAACTCAAATGCTGTTAGTAGTACCTACGGCACAGATTGGAAGGATGACTCAGATGACTAACGTCTACAGCGCGTTCTGTAGTGTGTCTGGAGTGAAGCAAAGGTTAGCTACCATCACTGAAGACATTCAGGACAGAATAAAGTGGACATTTTAAAACATGCTAAAGTTTTCGGACAGATCAGAAAAAAAAAGTACAGGATACTAAAGCTATTTACGTAATAAGATCTTAAAATTAAGTAAACAAATGAAAACTTTTAAATCTACTTTTTGTATGAATGAGTTTATTATTGCCCCCATTGTCCCTGTTCCGGCAAAACTCTTGCAATCTGGTTCAGGTAAAAGCCTTATTTCAGTTTCATAGAGATCATGTCAGAATTATGATTTGTTAGTTTTATGGGAAGTTGCCAGTGTCTTGACCATTCTCATTACCCCATGACTGTTCTAGATACTCTCAATAGCCTCCTTAAAAGTTGGTCACTGCCTAAACTCTGAAAGAGGCAAAGCATAAATGGTATTAGTTTCATAAAGCATGTTACTTTCTTTGAGGCATTTGATTTTTTTCAACTCAATCATAATTAACTTAAATGATAATTTAGTTGAATTCAGAAAATATGGGCCAGCCATCGCTTTATCACTTGGCCCTTGACTTAGGCTTACACCTTCATTATACTCCAAGGAAAAAAATGTTAAAATGCCATTAAGACTACTCTACATTCTCTGAAAACATACCACTAAATAAATACCTCTATTAAGTGTCATTACCTTGATACTACTAAAATATAGCCAAATAACAAATAAATAATAAATATCAACCAAGTAATTTTTATGAAAGCAACTAAATTAGGTAATTCAAATAGACTGACAAAAGGAAATGTATAATGAAACCAATATTTATTGAAGAGTTGATACACATGGGAATGCACATACCTTATTTATTTATTTATTTATTTGAGACGGAATCTCGCTCTGTCGCCCAGGCTGGAGTACAGTGGCACGATCTCGGCTCACTGCAAGCTCTGCCTCCTGGGTTCACGCCATTCTCCTGCCTCAGTCTCCCGAGTGGCTGAGACTACAGGCGCCCGCCACTACACCCGGCTAATTTTTTTGTATTTTTAGTAGAGACAGGGTTTCACCCTCTTAGCCAGGATGGTCTCGATCTCCTGACCTCGTGATCCGCCTACCTCAGCCTCCCAAAGTCCTGGAATTACAGGTGTGAGCCACCGCACCCAGCTGTCCTTATTTTTAATAAGTTAATAAGACAGCCTTATGCAAGTCTAATTATTGTTAGTGAGATTAGGAAATTACAGTAAAACTTAAAAATGAGTCCAACAGTTTTTGTTTAATGTGTCATCCTTAACAACTTATAATAGCAAAAGACCTTAGGATGGACAGCTTACTCATTCAACTAATAAATTCAATCCCTATCTGTTCTAAGTACTGTTCTGGATACTGGGGCTAGTATCACTGAGCAAATCAGAAAAACATCACTATCTTCATGGAGCTCACATTCAAGTGCAGGGGGACACAAACAACAAATCAAGTAAGTAAATTACAGAATGTGTTAGAAGGTAAGATACACAGAAAAACAAACCAGGCGGGGAATAGAGAACATCAGTGATTGAAAGGCAGGAGTTGCAGTTTTAGAGTGTGGGCAAGGAAGGCCTAACTCAGAAGACACATGATGATATCTAGAAGAAAACAGGATGTTATGTTAAAATAGGCCAGGAAGAACTGAAATAAGCTAACACAGAAAGACAAATACCTCATGTTCTCACTTATATATGAAATCTTAAACAATTAATCTCATAGAGAAGAGCTCATACCATCTTTGACAACAGTGGTTACCAAAGGCTGGAGGTTGAGGGAAATGGGGAGATGTTGGTGAAGGGATACAAAGGCTCAAATAGGAGATACAAGTTTGGGTTTTTTTTAGATGATTAGCATAGCATGCTGAAAATAATAATTGGATACTATACATTTCAATATTGCAGAGTCAACTGCTAATGTTCTCATCACACAAAAAAATTGAGGTAATAGATGTTAATTAGCTTAATCATTTCACATTGTATTAAAAAAGCTAATACCACCCTGTACCCCATAAAAATATACAACTATAATTTGTCAATATACAATTTTAAAAAATAGACCAGGAGGGCAAGGACTGAGTCACTGAAATCCTTTAGGAGGCTACTAAAGTAATTTAGGTGAAAATACAAAAGTTGCCTTGACCAAAACAATAATGGTGGAGATGATGAGAAACAGATTCTGGAGATACTCTGAAGTAGAACCAACAAGATTTGCTGATTGGCTAGATGTGTGTGTGAGAATAAGAGGCACCAATTTTTTGGTCAATCAATTGGAAGAATAAAGCTGCCATTTACTGAAATGGGAAAAGCTATGGAGCAAGAGTTGTGTTTGGACATATTGTTTTAAATGCCTGGTAGACACTAAGAAGCGATGTTGAATAGTCAAGTTGAATATACAAGTCTGCAATTCAAAGGAGAGGTACGAGCTGGAAATACAAGTTGGAGAATTGTCGGCATATACATGATATTTGAAACCACAAGACTGAAAGAGAACACCAACAGAATGAGTTTAAGAAAAAGATGAAAGAGGGTTGAGGACTAAGCCCTGGAGCACTGCTTCACTGAGATCAGGAACATGAGGAAAATAGGTATGGCCAGTTTGAGAAGAGAAAAACACAAACCAAGTGTGGAAAAAAGCTTGATTGAGAAAAAAAAATCAGTTGACCCAAATGCTAAGTAATCCAAAATCTAAGCTAAGAATCAGATTTGGCAAAAAAAAATGGAGGTCATTAGTGGTCTTGATTACAGTTATTTTGGTGAGTGATGAAGGCAAAAATCTAACGGAAGTAGATTTAATTGAATGATAATTAAAGATGGTAAATTTAGATAATGCTTAAGATGCCTTCAATCTAGAGATGTAAAATGATATAAATTTAGAACTCACGTAAGTTTAGAAAATAATCTAATTCCAGAAATTCACTTGTTACTGAATTCTGTTTCTGAAATGAATAACTGAAAACAAAACAAAATCCATCAGCAAAAATCCTTGCTGAATGATTCTAAACATATTAGCAATTTACATCACATTCTGACTCAGAAATTTCTGATTCTTTTGTGATAATACATAGTGGTCATTCACTACCCCATGTCAATGTTTTTGTTATTAAAGAAGAAGTTTAGAAGCATAGGACAGTGAAAGGAAAGGCAGGAGACGGGGAATAAGAAATCTAAAGAAGATATGTCACATGTGAGGCAGTGGGAAGAGAAGGGCAGGTGTTAAGATGGCTTTTAGGCTCAAGGGCAACATGGCCCCTAGAAGTTAAGGAAAAGTAGCCCTCACAGGTAAAAAGACAAAAAAATAGAAAGTTTAAAATATTTTTATTTATTTCTTAAATATTTTAAGATACTTACCTTGCTTGAACCTCCACTTCCTATCTGCTTTAATATGGAATAAATTCTTCCTTTAACCGAAATGCATTCATTTGCTGAAGAGGATGCTAAAACCTAAATAAGTAAAATTATAAAAGTTCAATCAATATGCCTAAGAAACTAGCTTACATTTGGTACAGTCAACTGCTCCCCATTTTGAAATTATCTTAAATCTTAATTAGAAATGTTATGATATTTTTAAAAGGACTTGCTCTACTTAATCAAATAAAAAAACCTTAAAAAATAATGTAGACAAACTTCTATCTCCCCCTTTGACTGGTTTTGACTTAAAAAGAAATTTCGAGGAGGAAAAAAACACTTAATATGCAATCTGCAAACTTATAAGCTTAAAAAATATATAAAAACTAAAATATAAAATTATATTTTTCATATTTTTATTTTTCCTTATACCTCTTTACTTACATATGTACATATACACACACATAATTATATCTGTATTTTTTTTTTTTTTTTTTGAGACAGGGTCTCATTCTGTCTCCCAGACTGGACTGCAGTGGCATGATCTCGGCTCACCGCACCCTCTGCCTCTCAGGCTCAAGCGATTCTCCTGCCTCAGCCTCCCGAGTAGCTGGGATTACAGGCATGCCACTACTATCCGGCTATATCTGTATTCTTCTTTCTCATTTAGCGTTATATTATAAAGGAAGCAATGTGCTAAGGTGCTAAGAGCTCCAGAGTCAATGAGACAAATGCAAATTTCAGCAATGTCCCTGACATGGTTTGGATCTGTCAAATTTCATGTCGAATTATAATTCCCAATGTTGGAGGTGGGGCCTGGTGACAGGTGACTGAATCATGGGGGTAGACTTCCCCCTCAGTGCTTCTCTGAGAGTTCTCAAGAGATCTGGTGGTTTAAAAGTATGTGGCACCTCCCCACAACTCTCTCTTCCTCCTGTTCCAGCCGTGTGACATTTGCTCCCTTTCACCTTCTGCCATGATTGAAAGTTTCCTGAGGCCTCCCCAGAAGCCAAGCAGCTTGCCAGCATCATGCCTACTGTACAGCCTGTGGAACGATTAGCCAACTCAACCTCTTTTCTTTATAAATTACTCTCAGATATTTCCTTATAGCAGTGTGAGAACTCATGAATACAGCCCCACACTTTGTGCTGAGTGATGTTCAAAAGTTACTTAATTTTTCGGAACCTCAGCATCTTCCCCGGCAAACTTTCAGGTGATGTACTATACAACCTGCCCCATCATCCCTTTCCTTATACTGGAGGATCTCTCTGTGTACCTATAAATGCTTTGAACAGATGGAGTGCTGAGAGGACTTATTCTGAGCTGATAAAGAAGTTGAAACAAAAAGAGCTCCTGATTAGCTGATTAACCAAGTTGAAATAAGGTCTGAATAAACCTCAATTTAACTAAGGCCTGCTTTAGGTTCCAAATGGTAGACTCTCTCATGTAATCTCCTATTTAAATAAAAAGTTAGTATTCTAATTTTTTCACCTCTAGGATTGAGATACACTATTGAGTCCATATATATTTTCTGTAACAAAGTGTTGGGCTTCTAAACATTTATGTGTTGTAATTTCATCGTTTCCCCACTCCTTTCTTTTGTGCCTCCTCTCTCTTCTTCCTTTCATATTTAAAATTGTGAACAATGCCGAGGGAAGAAAGCAGTTCAGTGTCCTTTCCCCATGGCCGCTGACAGTTTTTAGAATAAAATAATTCTTATTTGTGATTCAACACTAATGTGAACTCCAGTTTCCTACACAGGACATTCCACATCCCCCTTAGTCTGCCCTACTCACTGTGGTTAGAGTTTCCAAAATGCAAATTGGCTCATTTCACTTTCCCTGCTTCAACCTCTTCCAAAGCTTCCCACCCTCTTAGGGTAAAACTTAAGGGCCCAGCAAACCTTGGGACTCACCCCTTCCCCTTCCTGAGCTCTAGCCACACTGTGGCGTCTTTCAGTCCTCTCCTGACACTGGCCTCTTCTAGAAGGCTCCACCAAGCCCCTTCACTTGTCATCTGTGACTCGTCTTCTGGATTGCAACTCAAACAGGGCCTGACAGTAATAGCTAAATAAATGTGTTTTGAATCAATGCATGAACAAACTTGATCATTTTTCTTTTTCCTCTGTAATTTATTATATTGTTTCAATCCTCAAAACACTATCACCTCTTTCTAGTTAGTATCGACTGTCAGTTCATTGTTTTATCCATTATTCTTTCAAACTGCGCAAATTATACATAACGCAAAATTTACCACTTTAACCATTTTTAGGTACAACTCAGTGCATTAAGTACTTTCAGTATGTGATGATGGAAACGTTCTGGAGATGGATGGCGGTGCAAATATCATCACTGAAACTCTACACCCATTAAACAGTAACTCCCCATTCCTCCTTTCCCTTCCCTGATAACCACTGTTCTTATTCTGGCGACTAATTTTTTCATTAGTTGATTTTTATAGTTAATTATTCATGGGTTTTTTTATTGTTTTATTTAAATAACGATTGCTGCTAATATTTCTGATTTACTAAGTGTCATGCTCTGTATTAGGAGTTACATATATATTAACTAATTTAATCTTAATAACCATCCTAGGAGATAGTTAGCTGTATTAATTTTATAGATGATGAAATGGGCACAGAAAGTTTAGGTAACTTGCAAAAGATCACAGAGGTGGTAAGTAGTGAGGCCAAGATTCATGCCCAGTGTCTCCAAGGCCCACATTTTCTAACAGTATTAAGCTGCCTCTAGGACAGTTATTAGAAACCAACTTTTGCCTCCTCAGCAAAAAAATCTTTCCTCTTAGTTTACAGTTATTAGTATAATACATTCTAGCAGTACCTCATATTGCTATTCTGATATTTTTGAAAATTTACATTTCCAAATGAATTGTATACTAACAAACAAAATGAAGCTGCTCACTAGCAGCTGACAAAACACAACAAAAAGTAACCTCGGCCAGGTGCAGTAGCTCATGCCTGTAATCCCAGAACTTTGGGAGGCTGAGGCGGGCGGACGGCTTGAGGCCAGGCGTTCGAGACCAGCCTGAGCAACATGGTGAAACCATGTCTCTAGTAAAAATACAAAAATTAGCCAGGTGTGGTGATGCGTGCCTGTAATCCCAGCTACTCGGGAGGCTAAGGCACGCGAATCACTTGAACCTGGGAAGCAAAGGTTGTAGTGAGCCGAGATCGCGCCACTGCACTCTAGCCTGGGCAAGAGAACGAGACTCTATCTCAAAAAAAAACAAATAAATAAAAATAAAAAATAAAAGGTAGCCTTGATTATAAGAGAAGTTTTATCCAGCTATTCAAACTGAATCCTTTGGCCTAGTTAATAAGAGTAACTTCATCAGCTTCTTCAATAATGAACCTCTCAAAGCCACAAGGCACACTCTTATCAGGATAGCAGGAAAGTTTTGTCTAGTGGAAATAAGAATGGCCAAGTTCTTAAGACCTTTCCTGATAACTAGATGCTATAAAAATAAAAGCTGTAAAACTGATTGTATCTTAACATATACCATCATGTATAAAGCTTATCGAACCTGTAAATTTTGAAGTGGAGTAGCAGGTATTTGCTGCTGTTGCTGCTGGAAACAGGCAGGTTGGCCATAGGGTGTTGACAACTGACAAGCAGGTGGAAAGTCATTCTTTACAACTGGAGTTCTAAAACTAGGAAATACATATATTTTTTATTTAAAACATTACAATTTAATAAATAAGATTCTGATTGTTTTCAAGTATTTTAAAAGGCTGATATAAACTTAAAAGAGCTACATCAAACAGAACCCAAGTCAGTTTACATGATATAGCTGACATTTATTCCAGATATGCCACCACCGAATATTTAATTTTGGGGAATTCTTTCTGAAAGTAAATATTTGTATGCAGACAAGAAATCTTTGTTTGTAAGATAAAAAAGATGGCATTTAAAATACAAAGTAGTTAGAGTTATTTTATACGAATTTAGCAAACGTCAGCTTATGGCCCGTCACAGATTTTGAGTGTTTTTTTAAACAGTATTGTTCTATAATGGCTTGCTAGAAACATCAGAAAGCCAGTTACGTCAGAGGAGTTTGGCCTTTGAGCTTAAATCTGTCCAGCATACATTTGTGCTTTGTTTGCCTTGTTTGCTATTAATATATCCTCAACACCTAGAACAATGCTTGGCACGAAAGAGCTCCACAAATATTTGTTAAGAATAATTAACTTAATGTCACAAGAAATATCTATTATTGCTATTTTAGTTAGCAATCATTCTTTAAAATATTCTACATATAATAAAACGAGGCAATATATAGTAAAACTATATTAAGTAGGTAAGAGGCTGGGTTATAAAATCTTTAAGGCCAGTTCTAATTAAGATCAAGAATTACATTATGAAAATGAAACGTAAAAGATGACATGGATTTAAGCTATCCCCCAAGACATTAAAGATATAGCCACTGGTTGATGGTTGTAATGTACCACACCCCTTTATTTCCTTTCTCTGAAATGTCATTCATTTTTTTTTGTAGTATCCCTTGCGTTCCCTGTCAGTCAGCACACTCATCATCGAACTTCTTCACTTATCCATCATTCCTATCTACTCAAGTACTACACCCTTGAATATCCCCAGAACTACATGAACTGTAGCAACCAATCTCTTCCAAAAGCTATCACTTTCCAATTACCACCACTCACGTGAAAAAATTCATCTACTCTTTATCCGCTCTAAGAATACTAACCTTTAAAATCTCTCTCTCAATAGAGAGATATCTGCATGGCAATACATGATTATCAAGACGTTTTACATCCTTAGAATATTTAAAGGCTGTAGGTACAGATTACAATATGACAGAAACTACATTCACAACAATCCTTAAAGATATGTATTTTTGCAACCACTTTCCCCTTTCCGTTTTATAGATGAAAACAATGATGCTGAGAAAATAATATGAAGTTGGAAAGTCTTTAAAGTAAAAGAGCAGGATTTAATCCCAGATTTATTTGGCCCAGAAGCCCATGTTAATTCTATCATACCACCCTGCCAATCAAGCAAGGGGCCAAAAGTAATTACCAGCTCATGTAATCATCCAAGGTATTGCTGCTTGGTGTCTTACAAATAGATTTTGGGTCAAACCATTTAGATGCTGACATTGGCGGTGACTGTTTTGAAACTGAAAAGACAGGTTGCTCAAAAGTGGTGTGTTTCTGCTAAAACAAAATAAGGAACACTATGATTTAGAGTTTTTAAATTAGTTGCCTGTTCACTAGTTTTTACAAATATTACAACTTTTAAAATAAAACAATAACATATGATATACAAAAACATACTAAAAGGGGTAGGCATATAAATATACATTTTAGACTTTCAATAAATTTTTTAGTGTAGTTATTTTACTTCAAATTCTTAAGCCTAGTACATTCTGCTCAAACTGATGGCAAGTACAGGGAAGGCACACAAAATTGTTTAAAACAGAATTTAACATTCTCCTCTATCAGAGCTATTGTAACAGGTATTAAATTCTTATAATCTAAAATAGTAGTCTGTGTTGCTGAAAATCAGCCTTTCTTTAATCAATAAAACTCTATTCCCTTCTCCTCAAATGCGGCAGAATACTAATTACTTAGCAAAATGTGGAACGACAAATGCCTATATTGTGTCTGCCATAAGAAGAGACAGAACCTGCAGAAATTCTTTTTCCAAAAGCATTGTAAAAAAAAAAAAAAGAACCTGTAGGATTCATCCTGTACAAACACCAATGATGAAAGAACATTCGCTGTAGCAGAGATTAGCAAATTACAGCCTACAGGCTCAGGCTGAATGTGGCCTGCTGCCTGCCTATTTTTGTAAACAAAGTTTTATTAGAACATGGCTATGCCAATTTGTTTACATATTGTCTATCGCTTTTATTTTCATGCTCTAATGGCAGAGGTGAAAAGCGACAACAGAGCCCTTCTAGCCTGCAAAGCCTGATAACCCCTTTATAGAAAGTTTGCTATAACCCCTGCTGTAGCACATCTCAATTAAATAGAGAACCAAGCTTTGCTTGAATACTTTTAGTAACTAAGCATCACTAGTCTACAGAGGTTCACTTCAATTTCGGGACAGCTTTAGTTATTAGAAAATATTTGCAGATAAATTGGATTAAATTGGTTTATCTATTATAATTTCAACACACGGGTCCTCATTACGCACTTGAGAATTACAGTGGCTAAATCTATCCTACTTTCTACATTTCAGTCTTGGCCAAGAAATTTTTTTTCCAGGAAAAATGTTCCCTCTTATTTAATACTTCGTGTGTCTATGCTTACGTGCAAGCATGCACATATTTTAGGATTAGTGGTAAAGATGTTACTGAGGAACTGCTGTAGTAAGATTAATGAACAAGGAAAATGAAAGAGATCATGATCATAGAGTGGAATGTCTGCATTTGCGATTTTAGAGGTCAGAATTGAGGATATAAGGAGTGGGTGGCTAAAGTAAAATTAAGGAAATGGTCATGAGATAGGAAGAAGTTAGAAAAATGAAGGCCAGCTGTAGGACTGGTAATACACAGGAGTGTAGAAGCCAACAAAAACAGTGACAGTTGTTGGGATCTGGTTGATCCAGAGCCTAATATCTTCAAGGAATGATGGGGAGTCACCAGGACTTTCAGAGATTGAGAGTAAGTCAAAAGCATCAAAAGAACAGGCCTTTACAAGAAAGAGGAAGAAATGGTCTGGACACAGAACAGAGAGCACACAGCCATTTGGTAAGTGAGATGTGAGACAAAAACATTCCTCCCTTGAAGGGACTGCTGGACAAGCTGTATCCACAAGAAACTGCCTAGATTCTATACTTTTTCTTTTTATGTGTACTATCCAATGGTTTTTAGTTGTGCAATGGTTCACAGCTGTGCAACCATCACCACTATCCAATTTTAGAATATTTATTCTTCTAAAAAGAAACCTCATACCCATTAGTAATCATTCCCCACTCCCCACTGCTCCCGGCCCCTGGCAACCACTAATCTACTTTCCAACTCTATGGATCTGCCTATTCTGACGATTTTATCTAAATGGGATCATTAAATATATGGGCTTTTGTGGTGAGCTTCTTTCACTTAGCATATTGTAAATGTTAACTTATGTTGTAACATGTACTAGTACTTCATTACTGTTTATTGTTGATTAACATTCCATTGTATGGATGTACCACATTTTGTTTATCCATTCATTGGTTGGATATTTTGTTATTTCCACTTTTTGGCAATTATGAAAATGCTACTATGAATATTTATGTACACATATTTGTGTGGATGTATATTTTCAATTCTCTTAACTACAAACCTAGGAGTTACTGGATCATATAAAGCTATGTTTCACCTTTTGAAGAACTCCCAGACTGTTATCCAAAGTGACTGCACCATTGTACATTTCCCCTAGCAGCATATGAAAGTTCTAAAATTCTCCACATCCTCACCAACACTTGTTATTGTCTCTTTAATTAAAGCCATCCTAGTGGGTGTGAAGTAGTATCTAATTATGGTTTTGATTTGCATTTCTTTAATGATCCATACGGTCTTCAGTTCCCTTACAATCCTATTAGTGTACAGTTTCCAAATAGAAAAAAAAGAGGAGATGCTTGTTTGATACAATCTATGACTCAACCTGTCAGGATCCTTATCATCCAGCATTTGTTATCTATAACTACTACTTAAAGATCTTACTCTGACAATATTTACCTTTCTCACTTTTATTTTCTCATGAATATATACAGGAGTTTTCTAGAGACCATATGACATGTAATAATGAAATACATTGAATACAAAAGCAGACATAAGAATCCAGTCTTCTGTTAAGCCAACTGTTAGATTTGCAAAAACTGTAAAACAATGCTACTCTTCTCACTGTAGTTCTTTTGTTTCAGAAAATACATATTTTTCATAATAATGCATTTATATTCACATGAGTTTATCAGTAATTTTTGTTCTTTTTTTTTGAGATGGAGTCTCGCTCTGTCGCCTAGGCTGGAATACAGTGGCACGATCTCTGCTCACTGCAAGCTCTGCCTCCCGGGTTCAAGCCATTCTCCTGCCTCAGCCTCCCGAGTATGCTGGGACTACAGGCGCCCACCATGACGCCTGGCTAATTCTTTGTATTTTTAGTAGATACGGGGTTTCACCGTGTTAGCAAGGATGATCTTGATCTCCTGACCTGGTGATCCACCTGCCTTGGCCTCCCAAAGTGCTGGGATTACAGGCGTGAGCCACCGTGCCCAGCCCTCACTTATTTTTAATTAATTAATAAACATTTTTAAAATGTCTTGGTTTTACATCCTAATATAGTAAATAGAGATAAATATAATCAACATAAACAAAAGCTCTTTAGGAGCATTGATAATTAAGCGTATAAAAGACCAAATGTTTGAGAACCACTGAATTAACAAAGCCTTTACTGTATTTACTACAAGTCACTGAAAAGAAATGGTAAGGAAACTATGGCCATGAACTGCAGCTATAGCTCTCTAGTATCCTACTTGATCATTCCTTCTGAAAAGCCACCAGGAACGATCATTCAGTATGTTACAAATTCATGTACAGTGTGTAGGCTATATTTTTCTATTTTTCTATTTTTATCAATGAGTATGACCATAGGAAACTGTTAAGTGCTTGGGACAGCACTGTGCTAGTTCAGAGATCAGCACACAGTTTTCTGCAAAGGACCAGATAGTAAACATTTTAAACTTTGCAGGCCAGGTGGTCTCCAATACAACTAATCAACTCTGCTCTTATAATGCAAAAGCAGCCATAGACATTAAATGGATCAGTGTGTCAGTGTTCCAATAAATCTTTACACAATCAGACTAAGAACTAGATTTGGCCCATAGCACCAGTCTATTGGCAATCTAGAAACACTATTGAAGATAGAAAATAATTTAGCCTGACTTACTGAATGTATGACTGCTACTGAACACCATTTTATAAATGATAAAAAAAAAACCTTTAAATAAACTATTCTACTAAATATCATATATATTTAATAAAAGAAAACATTTAATATGATCATCAAACTTCAGAAATGCATTATGAACAAAAAAGCAATGTTGTACTGTAGTGGAAAAGTTACCTCTGTATTAACCTTTCGGGCTAACTCTGGAATCTGCCACTGATTTGAAGATGCAACAGGATTCTGGTTAATACATGCTGACTTTCTCTTAGATTGCCACTGTTTCTGGTTACTCTCTGAAACCTCTGGTTCTTGGTACTCTTTAGTTTCTGAAATTGTATTTGTTGTCATTAAAAAGCAAGAATATTTGATCATAATAAACTAAGCCTAAACAATAGAACATGTTACAAACTATATTAGTATTTAGTTCTTAAAAACAATCAAGGAGGGAGAGAAAGTGAAAGCTTTAAGCCAGCTACTTAACAATTTGCTTTTAGCAAGTCAATTTCACAAAGTTGCACTATAGTCATCTTCCTAAATTGTTACTAAGAACTTTGTCAGAGACCCTGCCACATTTAAATGCTTCTTTACCAAAAAAATAAGTAAAAATGTAAAAACATATAGATGTTATAAAGTCTTACTAAAAGAGAAGCTAATTCACTTTTCATGGACCGAGTATCCAAGTCTCAAAATGCATTTTAGAACCTTTTTTTTTTCCTTTTTGCTTACAGCCTCGAAGCATACTTTTAAACTCTTAGTTTCTCCCTTTCCCACCAGGCACTTCCAGGAACAGTGTTCACTTATCTAATCATGTACTTGCTTAGAAATTTCAGGGGCCAGTTTTGAAACGAACCAAGCAGAGATGGAGTTGCAGACTCCTCTTGCTTAGGGGCAGTTTCCATCAGTTAGCCTAGCAGTACCCAGTGAAGTCAGGATGACACAAACCTTACCTCCAGATGGGCGACGACTCAATATAACCATCAGAACAAGACATTCAGACCTGCACCACTCCCACATCTCTCCCACACCTTTTCTTTCCCAAACCCCTTCACTCAGCCCAAAAAGTTGAAATGGTCTTTTGAGGGCATGAGCCTGGCCAGTCCCCAACTGCAAGCATTTGATTAATAAACTGCTTTCCTTTCACCACACCTGACTTCTCATGTTTTTGGCCTCTGTGTGGTGAATAGCCAGACTTGAGTCAGTTACAAACGTGGTGCCCTGTGTGAGGAACCGTGTGTTTTGAGGGGCTCAGCCTGTATACCTGGTTTCCAACAAGTGGAGCAATTGGCTGTGGGAGCAGGTCAAGGCTCACCCACTCAGGATACCCGGCCAAGGCAAGGGCCACTTGCAAACACCAGCTGCTCGTAGCTAGCTGGCCCTGCAGTTGGGACCTTAAGGAATTCCCAGCAGCTAGGGAGACCACCCTTATCTCAAGGCTTTTTCCTTCCCTTCCCTTTGCTGTAACGCTCAGTTAGTGAAAGGAAAGTGGCATTTGGGAAGTCAACGGAATTCAAGGGTTGGATAAATCAACCAGAGTGTACTGGGAAATCCTCTGTCTTAACCATCTGCACTTTCTAGTTGTCTGGACCTAGTATAGGTCATCTGTGCTGCCATTTGGGCCTCTTTCCCATCTGGACCCAATGCAGGACACTCTGCAATGCTGTCTGGGTTTGAGACAAGATCTCAGCACTTATCTCCAGTCTCCCCTTTTTGGGGATGGATTTGGAGTGCTCCATCTGCATTGGATCTGCCTGTGTTTGTGTCTCTGTTTAGCATTATCCCTCTCTCTGAGGGTGCTTTGAAACTGTCTCCATCCCACCCAGCAAGATAGGCTGCTCCTCTCCTCGCTAGTGGAGAAATGCTTTCCAACAACCTGGCCTCTGATTTTTGTCATACTCTTTTGGACTCCAGATTATTTCTTGTATCTGTGTCAAGCTTTGTTAGGGGAGAAAGCATGTGAGCTCTTTCCTGGACTATCTGGGACTCCAGCTGGTTACACAGTACAGCCCATTTTTGTGCACATTTTAAAACTATGGGCAAATTACAGTAAGAAAAATTCAGAGTTCAAATGGTTAACCTGCAACTATAAAATTAAACAGTCTTCTAAAGCTAGCTCTCTATTTTATCTTTTCTTTTCTGCCTGCTTTGAATGTGCTATTATGCTACTTGAGTTGAGATAAAACTCACTGTTTAAACACCACTTGGAAAGTTTGGTTTTTTATTTTTCTTATACAGTTCAGCCAGTTACGGTTATAACAGAATCATTAGTAACTCATTTGCAACTGAAGAAAAAGGGGGAAAAAAGGATAAAGAGGTTTTTAAAACCAAACTGCCATAGAGACTGCTTTACCCAAATTTTGGTTGACAGCTTTCCTTAGATTACCTATCAAGGCAAACAAGGTTTAGCCATGTGAACAGGTTCCAATTTCATCAGAAAAATAATTTGGATCAGCTATCTTTTATAAAGTGGTGAGTTTGTATTGCTATCTTATGGCTAGATTCTGAGGTAAAAGCTATTGGATCTTTGTGCCTGTATGTATACATGTTTAGACATCTCTATATGTACATACATGTATATGTTGAATCTAGCATGCTACCAAATTGGCTTATAAGTAAATAAACACTCATAAATTAAGTAAGTCCTAATGCTTTTCAAGTTCACATGAATCTTTGGTAAATTAAATTGATTTTAAAATTATTAATAAAAATAAAATGTCTTCAGAATCATCAGCATATATTTTTATCTAAGTATTTTGACCAAATGGTTTTATATTTGTCTATGTCTATATATTAAGATGTCAGGGTTTAACATAGCGGTTATAAGACTATAAAACACAGTCAAAAACAGACTAATCTTTGTGTGATTTTTTCGACAAATAAGACTAATTTAATTTAGATTGGTGGTTCAATGAAAACAGCTCAATATTCTGAGTTGCCGGCAAAATACATTTACTTAGGTTCTTACTTAAGTGTTCACCTGTTACTCAGACTTTAAAAATGGTTAACAGGGAAACAACTTTAAATAATGACTAGCTTTGTATAACATCTCAGTTTTCAGAAGTAATCTAGATATACTGTTAAAAATGGAAAAAGCTCAAGGCATGTAAATGAGATAAATGCCTGTAGTGGACTTTCAAATTATTCTGAATTAAGTAATTGATGCTCATGAGATGTCTGGGTCATTTCCAATTAAGAAAAAATTATAATATGAGAAAGCATGTTTCAGAAATTGCAGAATAGTCTTTTGAAGGTAAGAGCCTGGGCATTCTCCAACTGCTAGCATTTGGTTAATAAAATTGCCTTCTTTTCATCACACCTCATTTCTCGTCTTTTTTGACTCCGAGTAGCAAGCAGTTGGACTTAAGTCAGTTACAAGACCTCTAGTTTAACATAAAAATTTCACCTTATGCAAGTTTGTAATTTATTCTCTCAAAGGTCTGTAAACAAAACTGCCTCAACAATATATTTAACATTCTATAAATATACAATTCCATTCCTTTCATTATAATGGATGCAAAAGTCCTAAACAAAATATTAGCAATTGATATACAAAAGGGATAAAAAATTGTATCCAAATTGGGCTTATTCCTAAATGCAAAGTTTGCTTAACATTTGAAAGTCAATGTAATTTGCCATAATAACAGAATAGAGAAGGAAAATATATAATTAACTAAATAGATGCAGAAAAAACATCTGATAAAATTCAACACCCAGTCACACACAAAAAAACAATTATTCGTAGCCTAGATATAAAACAGAACTCACTCAATTTGACAAAAAGTAGGGACAAAACTCTACAGCAATGATATTAAAGATAAAGTATTGACAGCTCTCCCTTAAAATAAGGAATGAGACAAAAATGGCACCTATCATCCCTTTCCATTCACTGTTATACTGGAGGTCATAGCAATTATAACAAGGCATAGAAAAGAAAGTTAAAGGGATTCAAAAGGAAAAAAGCTGCACTATTTTATCTTTTTCTTTTTTTTTTTGAGACGGAGTCTTGCTCTATCGCCTAGACTACTAGAGTGTAACGGCATGATCTCAGCTCACTGTAACTTCCGCCTCCCAGGTTCAAGCGATTCTCCTGCCTCAGCTTCCCAATTAGCTGGGATTATAGGCACCTGACACCACCACGCCCAGCTAATTTTTTTTTTTGTATTTTTAGTAGAGACAGCGTTTCACTATGCTGGTCAGGCTGGTTTCGAACTCCTGACCTCAGGCAATCTGCCCGCCCTTCTCCCAAAGTGCTGGGATTACAGGCGTAAGCCATCGCGCCCGGCCAGCTATACTATTTTCAAACATAACTATGTACCTGTAAAAATCCAAAAAATGCACGGAAAACTATTAGAATTACTCAGTGAATTTAGCAATGCATGAATAAGTAAAAATCAATTATATTTTTTATAAACTTAACAACAAAGTTTTTTTTTTTTTTGAGAAAGGTCTTCTTCTGTCACCCAGGCTGGAGTGTAGTGGCATGATCATGTGATCATGGCTCACTGCAGTTTCGACCTCCTGGGCTCACGTGATCCTCTCACCTCAGCCTCCTGCGTAGCTGGGACCACAGGTACATACCACCACACCCAGCTAACTTTTTCTGTAGAGACGAGGTTTCCCCATGTTACCCAGGCTAGAAAAAGGTTTTTAAAAAGATATCATTCATTATCACAGCATCAAAAAATATCAAGAATATTTGATCAGCATTAAAAAAATATTCAACAATAAATCTAGCAAAAGATACACAAGATCTCTAAACAGAAAATAGTTATCTCATTACTTTAAATGACTGAAAAGGTATGCTAGGTTATTGAGCTGTAAAACTTAATTGTAAAGACATCAATTTCTCCCAAATTTCTTATAGGTTAAGTTAAATATCAATCACAATCCCATTTTTTTAAAGTGGTAACCAAAAGGTAGATTCTAGTGTTTATATGGAAATGCAAAGGCCAGGAACAGCCAAAATAGTCTTGAAGAATAAAGTTGAAAAATTTACACTGACAGATATCAAGACATAGTGCAGCTATTAAGAGAGCATTAGGCCTGGTATGACAGTTTACACTTATAATCCCAGCACTTTGGGAAGCTGAGGTGGGCAGATTGCTTGAGCTCAGGAGTTTGAGACTAGCCTGGGCAACATAGCAAGACCCCATCTCTACAAAAAAATTAAAAATTAGCCAGGCATGGTGGCACAGGCCTATAAGTCCCAGCTACTCAGGAGGCTGAGGTAGAAAGATCACTTGTGCCCAGGAAGCAGAGGTTGCAATGAGCTGTGATCGCACCACTGCATTGCAATCTGGGTGACAGAGCAAGGCCCTGTCTCAAAAGGAGAAAGGCAAAAATAAATATGGAACAGAAAAGAATTCAAAGCCAGACACCATACATAGAATCATCTAATTTACAACAGGTCAGTGAGGTAGAGGAGGATCTTTTCAATAAATGGTGCCGGGTCACTCGGATATCCATTAAGGGAAAAATAATGAACCCTGACACTTGATCTTACACATACGTAAACATTAAACTTAGGAAAAATATAAATCAGAAGGTGAAAGGTAAAATGATAAATCTAAAAAATATGGAAATATCTTGCCTGATGGCAGGGTATAAATCTTTCCTTACTGGAGACAACACTTCCTTTTTGGCCCAGAAAGCATTAGCAGGCACCAGAGGAATCTGGAAATAAGATTTTACTAGTTTTCCACATTTTCCTGCTTTTAAAGATTGGAACTGTTCTCTCCTCTGTTTTGCCAATATTTAAGATTTATGGCTCTTTTCAAAATACCATTTAAGCAAATCCACTGCTTGGAGAGAAAGAAATACTTCAGAACTGAACCCACCCAGGTGATGGATAGAGCACATGTTAACAAACTTCTGCTTGTTTTTCTACTGTTAATCGTTCTTGTATTTTCAAGAGAGTGTCTCAACTAAGAAACTAAAAAGGGAAAGAAAAATAATTATGCCTTTTCCCTTACAAACACATATTCCAACTAATGATTTATATCTAGATCATATAAATACCTCTTAACAATCAATGAGAAAAAGAAAGAAAAACCAATAGAAATATCAGCAAGACTGCAACCTGGGTGACAGAGTTGCAGTATGTTAAAGAGAGTATCCACATGGCTAATAAATACATGAAACAATGTTCAAAAGCAGACATTAAGGAAATGCGAAATGCAAATTAAAACCACAATGAGATAGATACCACTAGGAAATGCGAAATGCAAATTAAAACCACAATGAGCTAGATACCACTAGATAGCATCAAAATGCCTAAAATTAAAAGCCAACAATACAATGATTGCAAAGAACAGAAGAAGGAGCAACATAATTGTTGGTCTAAGGTTAGCACAACCACTTTTCAGACTGTTTGGCACTATCTTCCAAAGCTGAACACACGCATATCCTGTGACCTAACAATCCCACTCTTGGAATACACTCAATATAAATTTGTATATATGTGAATCAAAAGACACCAAAATATTAATTAGCATTATTCATTAGACAAAAAACTTATCCATGTACATGTGAATAAACAAATACTATATTTATACTAATTAAATAGCATATGGCAATAAAAATCAACAGACTATACATCATAAAAACATGGATGAGTTCCATAAACAATAGCAAGTAAGCAAATACAAGAACACACACTGTATTATTTCATTCTGTGGTGTTAGAAATCAGAATAGTGATTACATCTGGAAGGAGAGAGGTCTTGACTAGGAGGTGGATCAAGGAGGTTATTGAGGTGCCAGTAATGTTCTAAATTTGATCTGGCTATTGGTTACAAGTATGCATTCACTTGTGTTATTTCATTGTGCAGCACTCTTGTGATTTGGGCAGTTTTCTGACTGTATGCTTTATTATATTAATAAAGTATTACTGGTACAGTGTAGACAATAAGCATTCATTTAAAACATTAACTTAGGTACTGAGAGTACTATTAACGAGCATATTTGATAAAGATGATTTTCTCAATCATACCAGTTATGATAGATGCCAAAAAAATACGAAATGTAAACATTTTCCATCAAACGCTAGGAATAAGAATCTGTTCCCAACCAAAATAATGGTTTTTTGTGTGTGTCCCTGTTTGACTGGGACTGAGGCACTCTTGGGATATTGGGCATTCAGCAAAGTCCCTGGCAAAGGCAAGCCTCACTTGGTCCCAAAGTTCCTCCTCAGTCCTATTAAAATGAATAAAAAATTAATACATCCAATCTGGCAACCTCTATCTGGGCAATGATCATCCTATTAGTGATTATTTATGATCTGTTTAAATATATTTTTAATGGTACCCTGCGTTCTAAAAATAAACACAAAATCTAACGGCATTCAAAGTCCACCTAGTCTTATTTCCTATTTGCATACTACCCATGTTACAGTCTGCAGCATAACTAGACAGTCTCTAGTTCCTGATTTTACTCATTGTCTGTGTTATCCTCTTCATCTGAAATACTCTAGTATTTCCCCCCATTTAAATCCGAATTAGTTTCTTTGAACTTCACCATCATCACAAAATATTTCCTTATTTCTCCAAACCACATTAGTTTCTCAATTTCTCCCTCTTCTGAATTCTCATAGCATTTCATACATGCGGCTCTCATGACAATGTCTACATTCTATTCAGCATTATATTTATATATCTCTGTGTATCTCCCACACTGAACTGCAACCTACTTAGGACACTGTTTTATTAACTTACCTATCCCTAGAACATGTAGCACAGTACTCTTGCAGTGGAAAACCAAACACTTGATAAAAGATGAGAGTTGTCATATAAAAATGCTCTGTATCGCTTCCAGAAAGCCAACTGAGAAAAATAACTCAGTTCCATTGCATTTTCCCTCCACTCTTTCTTTTATGCACCTTTTAGGTAAATAAATTTCCTTTGCTACAGGATTCAATACTTTTCTTATATCCTGTATAACTGAACTGAAATTCAAGATAAAAGAACATAGACATAGTTTCACATCATAATTCTTAGGTGGCTAGTCTGCTTTCTCAAGCTATCAAATGGTTTTCTTAACTGAACATATAAGTCTACTGATTTCATCACTCTTACCTTCTAATTTAGCTCGAAGACTTGATTCAGTTTTATTCTTCAGGGTTACTGAATCAGTAATAATAAGTTCAGAACTCTTTTCATCTGATACCAGAGGTTCCTTGCAATGAATATTTTGAACAGACTACATGAAAAAACAATCAAATAAAGTCCCATAAATAGTAGTACTACTAATTTGTCTTACTGTTCAATATACTAAAGTCTTATCTATATATAGATTGCTCGTAAAATTTTCTGTTATAATTACATGTAGACTCACAAACCCCCAGCAAAGGTTAATTGCCTGAATTATTAACTAGAGGAATGGGAAGGGTCATAACCATAAATCTGGCCAATTTGCTTTCAGTGGATGTATTAATCAATTGCTAATATTTCACTTAAAGATGGAAAGGGTTAGAAAGTTTAAATTCAACAGAGTATGCCTCATGACAAGAAAAAAGATTTAAGTATTTTGTTACTTTGATGGCTATTTTATCACCAAAAATAACAAGTCAAAATTAATAACTGTATAATTTAAGACAGTAGTTACTCTAAATCCAGAGAGCAATCTTTTTGATACAATTATGCACTGTTCTCTAGGACAGCCATGATTAGAAAAAAATTAATACTTAAAGCATAGATCATGAAAGAGGGAGGCATTATAAAGAACATAAAATTGAAAAAACCCACAGCATGATGCCAGGGGTTTAACTCAATTATAATAATAGTATAACCACTAAAAATCACAGTGTAGAAGGAACTAAAATTATTTCCTTTAAGTCCACACAGTTACTCTGCCATGTCAGGAAGTCAGGATTGATAATCTATGTCCTCACCTCTGCCCTAACTCAATTTACTCTCTCATTTTTCTTTTCCTAAGATGTCTTACCAGAATCATATGACTAAATATAACAAAAAACAAAACTTAAGACACAATAGCTCCCCTAGTCATGTATTCCCAAACCCAGGCCAACTATCTGCTTAAACACATGCATAATAAATACTACTTCATGATTCTCTTAAGAGACTGTTGATCCTTGCTCTACCACTTTAATCTTGGAGAAACATAGTCTAGGACTTCTGCACCAACTTCCCACTGGTAGTCCCACACCTCTTGGGGTATGGAGGAACACTGTTGGAGATATATGAACTATGTATAAACCCTTTCCCCAGAAAAAGCTCCATGAATCCTGATCTTCCCAGATCAGGAACCCTGGCTTCATATAATGACATAGAATTAAAATACCTTTAAATTTCTCAGTTCACAGGAATCATTTCCACTTGGTTTAGATCCGGGCACAACCAAATCTCGGCATTCTGATCTAGAGGTTTGTCTTTTACCCATGAAACAAAATAATTTTAATATTAAATTTGAAAAAAAAAAATTTCAATGTATTTTCTCATCTTAAGTTGGATTTTTAATATAAATACTTTTTATTTAAAAAAACTCTTAAAAGGACATTTTTTAAAGTGACATAATTCCAATACAAAGGTGACAGCTAACAAAATTAGGTGCTAGGCAATGACAAAAGTGACAAGAGATAGGTGATTGCCTACTTCTTCATTATCTAATCAATAGCAATTGGAGTTAGGGTTAGACTGTGGGAAAGACAAAGTATGTAGATGAAACTACATTTCCAATTACAAATAGCTAAAGGATAAGAACCAGGGTATAGCACTTCTGTGGACCTCCACAGTACCTAGCATTGTCTATCAATAATAGGAACCAAGAAAATGGCTGGAGTTTTTCTGTTTTTACTTTTAATTTTTTGGAGTGGGAGAAAGTCTCCTTTATTCTTGAGCTAGGTATTTGAAATAGAGATGAACAAGATGGAATGATAGTGACAAGACTTTAAAGCTTAACCTTGACAACCAAAATGTTCTTTTAATGTCAATGTTTAGTCAAGTCTAAATATAATAGAAATTTAATTATAAAAGATGTTAACTAAAAACAATCGTCGTATTTCTAAAGTTTATTTGCAAAATGATTCTCTGGACTCTAAAGAGCCTTTTCTAATATAAATATTACAAATGGTGGTCAAAATTAAGAATAGACCAAAATAACTCTCCTTTAGCTGAGCTAGATGCTCCATTTCCATTTCTTAACATGGAATAAACACGCAAATTGAGGGAAGGGGAACACACTGGATGTGATGAACAGTATTTCATCTGTACCTAACCTGTCCCACTTCTTGAAGCCCTAGACTCTGAAGCAAAAGAATCATCATCTTTCCCACTGACAGCAATTCTCCCCTTGAACTACCTGGAGCAAATATTTGTTCCCAGACCTCCTTCTACCCATTATGGAGACTCTCGAACACAGCAGGAAGAGATTCTTAGCAGACAGCCTACCCATAAGTGAGAAATCCTCAAATATCAGTCTTTTAAGCTTAATGTTGGCTTAATATTTTTTCCTAATTTTTAAAGTTCCTTTAATGAATATTTTTAACGAGTGAAAAGCAAAACAAAGGTATTTTCTCCACTCATTCCTTTGTTCCTGACAGCATTTAGAGACTCAGTATCTTCTAAAACTGAATAAAAACTTAATCATAATTACTATTACTCAGTAAAAGACTTTAAGACCATTCTGCCATCAATCTTCACATATGGACAACAAATTTTAAAAATTAAAACTCAACATACCTTTTTATAAAACAAGGTACAACTGAATCATCTGTCTTCACATCACAGTCTGGGCTATTTAGAAGGTTAACTGGGACTCTTCCAAATGGGCATGACTAAAAATATTTTGAAAGATTAAGTAACCAACTAGGAAATTAAGACTTAACTATCACCACCTTAATCAAGCAGACTGAAAGTAACTTACCTGTTTAGTTTTGTTGGTTTGTTTCAATGAATTCCGATAACCTATTTCTGCATCTTGTGGGGGCATGTTCTCTCTAAACAGAAAGAAAATACCCCCAATTTTTCAAAGAGTAGAAATATGTATTTCTACTCTACTGCTAAACATTATCACACACGAAAACATATATATAGATACACGTAAATTAAAAAACACAGATGTATTTATATAGAAGATGAACATTTAAAAACTGTTTCCATTTCCTTACCCATACAAAAACCTGGCTTTGGTAGTCTGTCCTCTGGAATCACAACTGTTGTTCCTATTCTGTAAATGCCCAAGTGAACTGGAAAATGATTCTTGGGCAGTTAATACCATAGATGCTGTAAAAATTTTGAAACGATGATTAAATTTGTTAGAAATAAGAAAAGTACAAAAAAGTAATCTTATAAATAAGAATATTTTAAAAGTCAACTCATAGTAAATACTTGACCCCAAGTAAGATATGCAGACATGAAGATGTTACCAAGATAATTCTTTAACTACTTCTTCAAATTCTCTTAAATTATATAACTATTTCCCCAGGGTAAAAGCACATTCTGTATTTCCAAAAGCAAAAAAAAAAAAACAACCATTCTCTTGCTTAGAGATGTTTTTCATGTGTTAACAAAAGTTTATTTAGCAAAAAAGACAAATTTGCACAGGGTCGTAAAGACTTTTTTACTTCTCAAAGTCTTAACTTCCTTTACAACTTAATCTTAGATTTTAACCATTCTACATAAATAATACTTTTCTATAAAATATTATCCTGAATCTTTATTTCAAGTACTACCGACCACAGAAAAGTATTAGTATACATTAATAGTTACCTGATAAAGTCTTCTTTTCCTCCTCTGAAAGCAGCTGCTTTTTTTGGAGGTTTAAATTCCGTATGGCAATTTCCAGCATTTCTAGTGGTACTGCTCCACGTTCCACAGCTTTTTGAAGAAGTTGTTTACTTTTTTTGACATTACCTAACAAAGCAAAAGATAATTATCATTTTTAGGCAGTAATCTTTACCCACCACCCAGATATTTATTCATCAGGACCTAGGAAAAAAACTCAAAAAGACTTTAAAAGAATATTTATTCCAAGGCTCACGTACTTTATTTCATAGGCAAGTAAGCAATCTCTCACTTCTTATGCAGATAATCAACTCTCTTCTGATAACAATGCATACCAAATAGTTTCCTTGCAACATGGAGCTGACGTAATCGTGCATTAGTTTATTACCACCATCCACTTTCAGAAGTAACAGAAGTGTAACAAAGCAGTTACCAAGAGGGGACAGCAAAGGTCAATCACAACAGTTAGAAACAGGAGGGTGTTCTAGTATTACAAAAGTGCCAAGAGCATCAGTCTCTTACAACATGCTGTAATAAGTATCATTCATAATGACATTTAGTTAAGGGAAGGATGACATCTTTTGTTAAACAGCATCTTCCATCAAAAGAATTTTGGGGGAAAAACATAATAAATACAGATTAATCTTTAGCTATCACACTCAGCTATATCAGCCTGAAAAAGAATGCAGAATAACGGAGGAACTATCATAATTGTCTTTCTGAGTATGGACCGATTACCAAACAAATTGGTAAACTTACCCCTAGCATTTGACTTATTTTAAATGTATACATCACATATCTTACAGAATATTATCAACCTTTATGGGAGCCACTGAACTATGCTATGCACTTGGCACTTAGGGTACAAAAATGCTTAGGAGATGATCTCTAGCTTCTGGTAGTTTATAAATTTTAAAAAATGTCTTTGATAGTGATTAAGTCTACATTTATTCAGTAGTGGTAGAATTTCATGTGTTGTGTATTTTAGCACGACAAAAGAGAGAAAGGCTTAGATTAGAATTAAGAAGCTTAATTAATCAGAGAGCTTAGTACTGAGATCTGAGATTTCTTTAAGAATCTGGTAAAAACTGAAATGTCCTCCATCCCTATAAAAATACACACACAACAGACTGTGCATAGGATTTCAGGGATGTTGCATTATTTCCTGACAGTCAAGCCATCAACTGTGCTCAAAATAAATCATAATTTGACCACAATGCACTACTGTGCAATGCATTTGACCACACTGCATCACTGTGCATTACCACCACACTGCAGACAAAGTGGTATAGATAAAGTTCATCTTTTTTTACAGATAACTCAATTTAAGAGTTTCAATATTTATGTGTTCTAAAGATGTAAAATTTATGGTTGTTATTGAGAGCCACGATACCTCAAGAAATTTTGAAGTAGAATGGAGAGAAAGAAGCCTTGCCAAATTTTCTCTAACAAGCAAGGAGGAATCCATTTTTCTAAGGAAGAAAGGGATAATAGTTCTAAAAAGTTACCTGACAGAGCAAAGGACATATTGGAGAAGACGATTACTAGGACTCAGACATCATCTGAATGGGTAAAAATTCAGGGTTCTCAAATCATTTCTGAGTCATATAATTCTCTTCTCCAGCCTCAATCCTGGGGAACACTCTCCAGTGGCCAGTCCTTGCTATGGAAACCATCACGGGGATTCTTCCAATGGTGTTAATATGTTTATCACTGGCAGTCAACTGGATCACAGTTGTAGCAGAAACAAGGCAGTGGGAGAATGGAAACACCTGGCCAGAGAGCAGACTGAGGATGTTATCGAAAGGCCCCGGAAAATGCGAAAAGACTAAAGAATGGCCAGGTTAAAAATGTCTTAGGAAGAGATGGTCTTGGTCTCACCCAAAAAAATCCAGACTATGAAGAACCAAGTGAACAAGAAATAGTTTCTACAGCAGTTTACTTATTTTAAAGAACTACCAGTTAACGCTACACACACACATATAGTTTACCTGACCGCCAAGCTACACAGCTACACTTTAATGTACATTTTGGTGCTATGAAATCATAGCATAAGAAAAGTTTATGTAGCTCTAGATACTCAAGCTAGAGCTTAAATATCTGATATCCTTCTTCCTACAAATACTCAGTGAAGCAGCTACTTTCCTTTAGACATTTCCTGAATCTAACTAGTAGCACATAGACAATGTTCATGCTCATTTCCCTGGATTACTCTTTATACATGGAAAAGCTAGTATAACAGATATTCTCGGCAATTATGTTTAGGTGGCATTTCCCCCCCCATATTCTCATCTGATCAACTTAATGCCTTTTGACTCCAATTTCCACTGCATATATATGATTTAATATTAGAATGTAAGTTGTAGTAAGTTATCCTTTACTTAAAATTTGAATTTGACATTTTCAGATTACCTTGTGACAGTTCAAACTGTGCAAAAGATATATGAACAAAAGCAAATTTCTTGCAGTTTGCTCTGGCCATTTGAAAGTAGTCACGTGCATCATCTGGCTCTTGAATACTGTAATAAAAGATCTGAGTCAAAATTCAGGAAAAAGAACACAGCTACTTAAATTTGATAATGCTTCATTCAATTTTCCAAAAGACATGGGATATTGCTTTTTTCTGTGGATAAAATTAAATACTAGTAAGTTATTTTTTAAAAATCTTTTTAGACAGTTTAAAATAAGTAAACTTTTGTGGAAATGTGCATAGAAAAGAGTTTACATTAGTCTCTTGTTAATTATAAGCAAAAGTATTTGGTAAAAAAATATTAATTTTCTCACAATACTGACATGTTTTTATTTTCTCCCTTTGCAAGGTGGTTACATATTATGTAACATAGTTAAACACAGTTAAAATGCTAGTACTTACGCTTTTAATTCAGCAAATCTCACTTGAATTCTAGCAAAACTCTCATTTTGGCCATATTTATCTGGGGGAAGTGCTTCAATTGCTTGACTGTAACGACCAATCAATTTATTTAAAAGAGCATCACTTAGAGGAACACTGTTTTTCTCTAGTTTGAGCAACAAACTCAACCAGTCCTCTGGGCTGTTTGCCATCATCATAATTTGGTTAACAGTTCCCGAGTTATCTAAATAAGGGGAACAAAATATATCACAAGAGAAGACATAAAACAAATGCCAAATTGCAGTTTTCCTTCAAAATATAGTCAAGCATTTGTACTTACAGTATCAATGTACATAAAGTCCTTGTAATACTTTTTAAAATTGTAAAAGTTCATATAAATGTAAGTAACTTATTTATTGTATATTTATCTTTTATCTAGGTATACTTTATCCAAAAGTTACATATTTTGAAGAAAAAATCTGAAAATAAGTGGGATTTTTTGTAAGTAGCCTTTAAAAATTGGATATAGTTTAAGAAAATTTTATGCTGTTGCAGGATAACTACAATTTTAGTATCCTACCTACCCATAGAAAACTAAATCTCTCCCACCACCACCTGTACTAATTAACTTAGAAAATTCTCCCTTCAATGATTTATTCATTAAACTTACTGCTCCGGTCCTAATATAATCTTCTTTACAACCTTACTCATTCAACATTATCTCTGTATACCTCATACTTACTTGTAAAACAACCAAACCAGCTTTACAATAAAAAAATAAACAAATGATATCATCATTTTCTTCTCTCCAAGTAACCTGTATTTCTCCTAGAGGCCCTGATAATTTCTTGGTCCAACAAACTCATAGTTACCATGGCGTAGACCTTTGGAATTTATAGGACCTCTAGTGACAGTCAGGTTTCTCTCTGTGGAACCCCAACCAACAGAAACAGCAAGAATAATCTTCAGACAAAATTTTCACAGTGTAATGTACTTTTTAGTTTCTTCAGTGTTAGTTTTTTAAAAAGATAACTTGAATGTCAGTCTTCTGTTCAGGATATTTTGGTTATTACTAAGCATTATTAAATTCAGATTTCCAGAGAAGCTATCATTCCTTCTATAAATTTCAGTCACTTTCAACAAAGCCTACACCTTTACTTTTACAAATAAAAAATTTGTTTCTACTTTCTACTAAAATATAGTGCATGCATAACTTTGCTTTGTCGTTTTAAATTTAATTTGGCCTGACTTTAATTTTCTATTTTTACCTCCTATTGCTTTCCTAAGAAATTAGTCTGTGAAATGTCTAAAATACACATTTTCATCTGTGGCTTTGCAGATACATTCCTCGTGCCTGAGGACCCTATTCTTCCTCTAATCAACAAATAAAACATTTGTGTTTTATCATGCTAGTATTCCTATGATGCCCAGCATGCATTACAGTGTAGCACAGTGAATATATAAATTCTCACCTAGAAAGAAACTATGGTTTCAAGCACCTTTGAATCTTCCTCAATACTTAAAATACTCAATTGCCTTGACGTACAACCTTTGTTAGTGTGACATAATTAAGTACAATTATACTCTATTAAGATTTTGCTTAACACCAAAACTATCATTTTCTAGGTTTTTTCAAAGTGAACACAGTCAGCCACCATGATTAGATCACAGGTTCTTCCACTTATTTTCAATTTCTCATCTATTTAATGGTTAGTATACATGTAACAAAATTATCCAAAGGTCACCATTCAAATGACCAACCATTTGAAATACAGTAAAGAATCAGGCTTCTGAGCTAATACTTTTAGAAGAGCTAGAGTATTAAACTCTGGGCACCTTCACCCATTAATCATTGTTCAATAAATGTTTAAGTACCTACCTACCATGTGCCAGACACCAAAGTTCTGTGGATATAACAGATAAAAACCCTGCCCTCATGTAGCCTACATTCTAGTGGAGGTGAAAGACAATAAACACATGAGTAAATTATAAAGTGATTAGTACTACTTCTTTACCTTAGAGGACACCCAACAAACAGTTAATAACTTAAAAGAAAAGAAAAACTCACCTGTAGTATCAGCAGAAATTTTATTCAAGCTTAGTTCATCAGTAAGGTCTTCATTTTTAAACTTATTTTTAATGTCTCTCACTTTGTTCATTATGGAATCAATTGTCAATTCTCTGCCACTTAAATCCTCGGACTCCATTTCTAAGAAAAAAACTGAACTAGTCATAATTCCTATTTAGCATCAAAGAAAAAAAATGTGCTAGCTTTTCAGAACCCAGACGACTAAAGCATTCGTTTTGTGAACACATCTAAAGGCAGCTATTACTAGGCTAGTATTAATGGAGCTAAGCGCACAACAACAAGGTACACATCTTTGTAATTTATTCAGCAAGGTTTCATAGGCCAAGTACACTTTTTCCCCCAATATAACATCAATGACGTCATACTCTAGAAATCTGCAAATTTAGTGTCACTTAAAAAAATATGACGGAGTGTTTGCTTGGATTCTGGAAGCTACATACACATAAAGATTGCTTGGATTCTGGTAATGACATAGGCAAAGAATTTGGCAACGAGAATAACAATTCTTTTATTCGCCTGCTTTACGTGAGTAAATCTTCACAGTGCAAGTGCTTTCAAAGCAAAATATGAACATGATGGGGCTTTAGTGATAATGAAGAAATCCACAGGTTTATTCGTGTGCATATCTAGCAGAATCATGATTTGCTACCTTAATCCAACACTAAGAAACTACTGTACTGGTACTGAGCACTTGCTTATCTGCATGGTGGTGGTGTTTGTTCAATAAAGTGCCTGCAGTCTTACTGTTAATCGTATCTTTGTGCCTCTCAAACACCAACTCAGTGTGACTGATAACAACGCTGCCCCGTCTTCGGATTTAACAATGAAGCAGTCATAAAGTTGCAGCAAGGTATCACTCCACCTTTTAAGAGAGGTTTGAAAGTAACTGTCAGATCACGGCCACCCCTTTCTTTCCCAGTTCCAACCCGCAAAACAAGAGAGACCGTCCTTGGAAAACGATCTTGTGCGCAGGTACCCCACCACCCCTTCTTTCCAGCGTGGGCCACACCCACTTCTTACTTCCTCAACAAAACCTCCTGCATCACCCCACCGGCCAGACGCGCTGAGGCACCGAGCCTCCCCTCCCCCTCCAGCTCGTTTAGCCGCGTCGCATATCCAGCTGCAAGCTGCCCCCACCTCGCCCCACCCCTCACCGACCGGCGTTGACAATGAGCCCCTACACCGGCTGCGGCCGTTCCTCAGTACGCCGGTGCGCCGGTGAGAGAGAACTTACCTACTGGAAGCGGCGCTGGGGAAATGAAAAGATGGAACCTAAACTCCTTTCCGCAAACACGTTTGAATTTCCCCGTCGCTATCTCCACGGTCTCCAGTTGGTCAATGCTAGCCACGTAGAAGCGTCTGTCGTGATTGGTTCGTGTGCGACGGGGCCGCCCCTCCTCCTGCGTCAGGCGAGGCCCGCCCCGGAAGAGCCCGCGGCCCGTGCGCACCGGTGAGGTGCATGGGTTTGTAGGGTCCTGGCACTTTGCAGGCGTTCCCCGGGCACCAGTGGGCGGGCTTTCCTGCTCTTTCCAGTTTAACCAGGCCGAATTTTTGCCTGGGAGGTAGCCACTCCCGGGCAAACCTACCTGGTGAGAGGAATATAGGGGCGGGGACGGCTGCTCTCAGCATCCGGACCTAAAAGGTGCACCTTGGGCCGGCTCTTTACTGACCTCACCGCCACCCTTCTCCTTCGTTCCACGCGGTACTCACAGCCTGGCTTAGAGAGGATGTGGCAAGAAAGGATCTTTAACTGGGCTACGTTCAGCCCTGCCGCCAGCTCAAGAATTTCAGTGCTTTTTATCCTTGAGCTTCCGCTTATGCCCTTCCATTATCCTTAAATGACTCCTTGCTTTATCTTCAAGCCAGGACCCTCCCCCTTGTCAAAATTCTGCGCAGAACTCAAGCGCCCATCATGATTGCCCTGCCTGAACTCGCCTGATCAGCCCCCCTCCCTCCGAGCCTGCCCCACTTAAGGGCTCAGGTGTCCTCAGGGGTAAAAACATCTCCCTAGTAATCTTCGCGGGTGCGAGGCTCTGCTGCTAAGTGGCTTTGTGGTCCAGGGCAACAGTTACTTCTCGTCTGCAAAACTACAAGGGATGTGTCTGTTGTGCCAGCATTATGACATGTTCGGTGGTAGGGCGGGTTGGTTTTGTGTATGTATATAGGAAACTAACTGCAGCTGTCACTTGTTAACTCTAAAGCTGTCCTTAGAACCCTCCCATTCCCAGCTCTGGATAGTCACCCAGTCAGCATGAGAGCCCTTCTCAATCACTTAATGCATCTTTCTGTGTCAGCTAGCTGGTATTTCTGCTTCAGCAGAGCAGAAATGACTTGCTATACCATGGTTGGCTAATCACTTACCTTTGCACCATTGCATCTAATGCTGCTTTTGCCTGGAAAGAGTTTATTATTCCTTCAATTCTCGTTGATCTGTTTGCGGCCTGATCTCAAAGCTTGCATCTTCCTGAAAATACTGTTGCTGGGCGACCTCACCCTAACACTTCTTTCTGTACTCTCGCTTGGTAGTCTCCTTCAGTCTTCTATCTTTAAATACCATCTATATGTTGATGGCTCCCAAATGTTTATCACCAGCTGAGCTCTCCTCAACTCCATACTCAGATATCCACTGCCTACTTATTATCTTCACTTACATGTCTCATACGCATCTTGAACTCAAAATGTCCAAAACCAAGCCCCTGATATTCCTACCCAAACATGTTTTTTACAAAATCTAAAAAGACAAATTCATTGTCCTAAATTTTTTAGCCCCAAAACCTTTGTGTCATCCAGATCCCTTATCTAATTCATAAGCAGATTGAATCAGGGCTATCACAAGAGATTCCTGGACTCCTACCAGTTCTCCCCACCTCCACTGCCACCACTTTAGTCCAAGGCACCTTCATCACTTACCTGATGTTACGTGCAGTAGCCTCCTGGCTGGTCTCCCTGCTTCTGCCCTTGCCTCACCTCAATTTATTCTCTGACATAGCAAAGTCATCTTAAATCAGATTATGTCACTACTTTGCTCAAAACCCTTCAGTGCTCCCTTTCTAGCTTGGAATAAAACCAAAAGTCCTTATGATGGTCTGTGACTATTGAGCACTTGAATATGTCTAGTGTAACTGGGAACTGAATTTTTAAATTAATTAACCTTAATTGATTAAATTTAGATTTAAATTTGAAAACTGATATCTAATGGGATTATTTTAAAACTTTTTAAAGTAATTTTTTTTTATTTTTTCTAAACTTGCATTAGTCATGAATTTATTGGAAGACTTTTAAGTATACTTGGAACAACCTACGTATATGAACCTACTTTTTCAACTGTGAATTTTGTGAGATGCAAATGCAGATGAAGTATTTCCAATGAAAGTGTCTGAGTAAGAAATGTGATGTACTGTTAAGTATAAAATACACTCTGGATTTTGAAGACTGAATAAGAAAAAGTAATAAACATTGATAATTTTAAAAATATCAATTACAGGTTAAAATGATATTTTTGCTATATTGAGTTAAATAAAATATATTATTAAAATTAATATACCCCATCACAGACCAGAGGAGACTAAGAAGACATGACAACTAAATGCACTGTGATATCGTAAACTGGATCCTGAAACAGGAGGATGACATTAATGGAAAAATTAGTAAAATTCAAACTAAGTCTGAGGTTTAGTTAATGATAATACACCAATGTTGGTTTCTTGGTTTTGAAAAATGCATCACAGTAATGCAAGATCTTAACAACAGAAAAACTGAATGAACAGTCTGCAGCAATTCTCCGTATTATTTAATACATTTGGAATTTTTTGTAAATTAAGAATTATTCAAAAATAAAAAGCTTATGAAAATGTAATTTCACCTGTTTTACACTTTACTATGGCTAGTAGGAAATTGAAAATTACATATATGGCTTACATTGTATTTCCATTGGACAGTGGTGATCTGTAAAATCCTACAGTTTTACCTATTTGACCTATTTATTTATCTTGTTTATTTTCTGACTTTCCAAACTTTACCCCCACTAGAATGTAAACTCCATAGTACAGGAATTTTTGTCTATTTTGTTCATTACAGCATCCTTAGTGCTTAGAACGGTGCCTGGTACATTTGTAGGCACTTAGTAAATGTTAGCTAAATACTAACATTTACAACCATTAGAGTATTTAAGAATCCTATTTTATTTAACACATTTGTATACTTCTTGCATCACAATTTCTCATTTGGCTTAAAATCAGCTGCATCTGACAGTGAATAAACTTTTTCATTTTCAGAGTCAAGCCTTTCACAAAGCAATAAAATTAGCCATAAGATTATGACTTATTTTAAGATGGTAAGTTTCACATTTTTGTCACATAAATGAAAGTTTGAACTATTTAACTTTGTCATTAGCATCATGTCACTTTTTTTGCTAATCTTTGACTTTTCAGTCAGCATAGCTGCCTTTTTTATTCCATTATTTATTTACTTATTTATTTTAATCCCCTCCAAGGAGTTTTTTATTCAATTATTGAGGTCATTGTTACACAAGCTCAGTAAGGCCCAGACTTTGATTTTTAGAAACTAATTATTATACATGGATTTATTTTGTGCATATGCAAAAGTTAAATTTCTGATCAATAATAAATCCAGTTCTTACAGCATGCAATCAGTTGTGTGCTGCTTTATGGTGGTTTATTCTGGATAAAACATTACTAGTGTATGCTGATTTTAGTGCATTTAGGAGTGAGCCCATAAGAATGTTGAGAATTGTATGAATACTGTCAGGAAAGCTAACTATCACAGAATGGACCAAGCCATACACGAAATAAAATAATGCCAAGGACAGGTAACAACATACCTCATAGATAACAAAGAAAAACAGCAATGACAGTTTAGATTATGTTCTACAAAGGAAAACAGCAGTGACAAGTTAGGACCACTACTTGGACATCAGGTATTATTTAATCATGCAGGCAACAAACTATGCTAACAAATAACAGAAGAAAAGTAGGATTCTCAGTTCCTATTTTTCTTTTTTCTCCAATATAAAGAATAGTAGTCAGACTGACAATCTTAAAAATAAATAAATAAATACAGGACAGGTTATATAAGAAAGACATTTAAATTCCATTTAAATTCTCTGACACAAACGTGTGTGTGTGTGTGTGTGTGAGAGAGAGAGAGAGAGAGAGAGAGAGAGAGATAGGGTCTGGCTCTGTCACCCAGGCTGGAGTGCAGTGGTGTAATCTTGGTTCTCTGCAACTTCTACCTCCTGAACTCAAGCCATACTTCCACCTGAGACTCCCAAGTAACTGGTACTACAGGTGCATGCCACTATGCCTGACTAATTGTTGTATTTTTTGTAGAGACAGGGTTTTGCCATGTTGCCCAGGCTGTTCTCAAACTCCTGAGCTCAAGCAATGCACCCATCTCAGCCTCCCAACGTGCAGGGAGGCATTGTGATGGTCTGTGACTACCATCACACTTGGCCATAATTTTTTAAAAAATTTATCCGGGTTGGGTGATATACAGAATATCTTAACTTTGGCAAATAAAATGATAAAGGCTCTCTTACTGTTTTTGTGGAAGAAAGGAGCAAGTAATTCCCATACAGTTAATGTGAAGTAGTTCTGCAATTCTGGATCATTTTTCTCAAAGATCACTTGTTAATGGTTTGAGGAGAACTTCAGGTTGATCCCTAGTAGAAGTCCTCAGAACTCTGTCTGCAGTTTTATTCTAAACTATATATCTTATCTGTGTGACAAACATATAAAAATAATGCTTAACTTTTCATATTAATTAAAACAAAAAAATAGAAAATTAGAAGATACTTTAAATGGACAAAATTGATAATATGCAATTTATAGAGATAAATGTACGTCTGTACATTTAGATTTCTAAAAATAATAAAATTCTCAAATACACAGTTAGAGTCTAGCCAAGATGAAGAAACATGGTCCAGATTTATTCTCTGGAAACAACAGTAACAACAAAAACTATACAAAATAAATGAAATAATGGTTTTCAAGCATCAGACATCAGGCAATACAGTACAGTGATCCTTAAGAATAGTGAAACAAACAAATGAGTCATAATGTTGCCTCCAGATTACTTACTGGTGAGAGTTTCCAAGTTTCAGTGTACAAAGGGAGAACCCAGGCATTGCCTGGTATTCTAAAGTTAAGAAGATGGAAGTCATAGTCTGGAATGGCCAAGGCAGGTGAAGATCACAGGACAGAGTACCAGAGAAAAAGAGCAGAACACAGAGAGAATTCTGGAAATCTGCAGAGAATGTCTGTGAGTCTCCAGCTCTGTACTGGTAAGTGCAAGTGTATGTGGAAACTATCCCAAGACCAGGGGAAAATAACAACCATGGGAAAGAATAAAAGGGAGTAATATCAAGAGCTCATAAATGGCAAGAAGTAGTTTTTGTTCACAAAGCAACAAGACTCATGATATTGCCTTAGAACTGGGGCAAAATTAGCCCTACAGCATGCAATGGCTCAGTCTATAAAAGCTTATGAGCAAACCTTAAAAGGATCAGACAAAGCTCTAGAATATTTATAGAAATACAAGAAAATCCAACTGGGTCACATTTATAATGTCTGGCATCTAATTAAAAAATTACTAGACATTAAGCAGGAAAATGTAAATCTAAATGAGGAAGTGGGGGTGGAAATCAGTCAATTAAAATAGATGCAGATGTGGCACAGATTATCCACTTAACAAACAGTAATTATAACTGTATTCCATATGTTCCAGAAATTAGAGAAAAGTGTAAACACATTAAAAAGAAATATGGAATATTTCT